GTTTTTTATTCTGATTGTTGAGATGTTTTGGTATAATGAATTATATCAGTTCGATAAGTTCAGTGTACCTGCTACAAAAAAAATATTTTTCCTCATAACTTTAGAACTTTGCTTCAGGTTTAGGGACGAGTTTGAAAAGAAAATGTATCTACTCATTTTATTTTGGGGAACTAGAGTCTTACAAATTCCTTGTTGTGTACTGTGTTTTACTCCTTTTTAAACCTACATGGAAATGTTATGATTTGTCATTTGCAGACACTTGGCTTCTGGGGCTGGGAAAATACAATTTTTGAGTTACACCATCAGTTAAAATTGATCTAAGCTTTTCATTCTGCAAGCGAACATTCATAAATAGTTAGAATTGGAATGCTGTATGAAATGCTAAATTGATTTACAAATGTTAACAACACAATTTGCAATCAAACATTACTCATAAAGTGTTTTCTGATAAAGCAATGTGAGATTTCTTCTCTCAAAGCAATTAAAGGTGATCGCTCTTAAGGCATTTATTTTTCTCACTCAGGTACTCTGGCAGTTGGATGTTTTCCGAAGGAGCTTAAGACAGTTACCAGGACATGTCTGCCTTGGAGAAGCCTGCATCTTTTGTGCTTTAAAGGTAAAGGTTTATTTATGTTTTTACCGAAAATGGAGACTTTACATTTTTCTTTATTATTTTTTAGATATTTCAGCTCGCATAATGTTAAGATAAGCTCAATGAATTTTCTTCCCTTTTTCCCCTTTTAATCTCCAGAGCATCTTTAGTCAGTTTCAACACAGCAGAGAGAGAGCCCTGCCTTCAGATAACTTACGACATGCCCTGGCTGAGACCTTCAAAGACGAGCAGAGGTTTCAGCTTGGTTTCATGGATGATGCGGCTGAGTGCTTTGTAAGTGCGTTGACCCATGCCAGTGTGACCCCTACAGTGTATCTGCCCCAGGCAGCAAAGTGCTAAGCAGGGCATTTTGTAAAAAAAAAAAACATACCAGCAAGGTTACAGCTATAGAATGTATTGTAACACTTGCAATGCTTTTTGATGGAGCGTTATATTATGATCAGGGCATGTTATACAGTATAACCTTACTCCCTAGTATTACTTACTGTGAACCATTATTACTGCTTTTGATTGGATTAACTATATTTACATATTACATTATTTCAATTTATGTTATGCCTATTGTTTTCCAGTGAAATGAGCACGTTTCTTTTTTACGTGTCATTAGTAACTTGCTAATCACATACATTTGCTAAACATCTGCATTTGCTTATTATTTATAATTATATATATATTGCTTTGAAGAAGTGTTTAAACCTGAAGACCTCTTCTTATATAGTTGTATAACTGGTTTATGTATGGGACATAGTTATAAATACTGGATATACTGTATAATTTCATATTATTCACTCACAAAAATCAACATGATTTTCCAAATGACTGAAAATAAGTACTTAATCAGTGAACAGATACTTTATGCAAATTTATCTGGTTTTAAAATTATTTTTAGGTGATTAATCAATGCTTTACAATAATTACATATCTCAGAATACCATAAAACAGAATAATAATCATTCCTATGATAAAATATAGAAATAACAGATCTTTTCATCATGTAATGGCTGGACTTTCCTCCAAATTATTTTGCTTTACTAGATCATCCATTTAAATTATGATTTCTGTTTTAGATAGTGAGTCAAAACAAATGATTCAACATAGTGAAAGTTTAGTACTAAGTAGAACATGGATTGCATTTTGTGAGAAAAAAATAGTTAAAGCATGTTCTGCTTTATGATGAAAGACTGGTTATTATTTCTTATAATAATGTGATGGACAAAATGACTCTAAAAATTCTAAAGAGAATAAATTATTGAATCACTTTAATTGAAAAATAGTACTACCCTTAATTATTGTACTGCTATAGCTTGAAGGCTTGCATGTTGCATGTTTTTGCACAGCAGCAGAAAGAACAACAAATTATTAAATATCTCGGAAATAATGGATCACCTTAACTTAAGTTCAAGTTTATATACTTTACATTGTTTATGCCCAAAATGAGTGTAAATCTAAAAAGAAGATAATATATTGGAGTGTTATACCATTTTACATTAGTGGCTCCATTATTTCAGTGAGCACTGCATTGTGTCAATTTCCTACAGGGGTTATATTGGGAAAGGCTTATTATTTTCTCTTTTTTGCATCACTAGTATATCAATTCTGTTTGCAGTCTTAAAATGCTCTGCATTGTCTTCTAATAACACATGTTCCCAACAATCTAAATTGATGGTTCTGCTGTATCTGAGTCAACCTGTCTGTGCTCATCAGCAACACAGATCTCTCTTTTACTAGAAAAGATGTATTTAAAACTTTATGCTTATTATGTTTTCTTTTTGATCATTTGTGTTTGTATCTATTAAAGCAGAATCTCGTTTAGATTTAATATGACTAATAAGGGGTGGCTTGGCACCAATGTAGTTAGCATTGCTGTCTCGCAGCTCTGGGTACTGGTTTCAAATCTTGTCTGAATTGAATTCCTGGTTTGCTTGGAGTTTTGTATGTTTTCAAAGTGTTCACACAAGTTTTTTTCCCCCGAGTGCTGTGGTTTACTTTCACAGTGCAAAGACATTCTGGCAGGTCAGTTGGCTTCTGGGAAAACTGTCCCTTGTGTCTGCGTGTCTGTGTATGTCCCGTGATAGACTGGTGGATCCCATTGCTGACTGGGAGGGTTTCTACTGTAGCTCATCTGTGACCCTTTATTGGATAGAGGTTAAAAATGGATGAATGGATAGGTTAGAGAAGAGTTAACCGAATTTCCTGAGTATTGGAGTGAAATTATTCAACTACAGTGATCCTTGCTGCCTTTCAGGCATTTGCAATCCTGCAGTGTTCTCAGTCACACCTTACCACACCTTCAGTGGGTAATACACGCCCATAGCCATTTCTGTTTGTGCAGTGTGAAAAGGGGTGGACTTTGACAGGTTTACATTTCAAGAAAGCCAAGACGTGAGCCGTCCTTCTACTTGCAATGTATTCTTGGAGTTTTCTAGCAGGACACCAGTGTGCTTCCAGAAGCTGGTTTGCTAAACATTAAGATATCTCCAGTAGGTTGGCCATGTGTGTCTTTATAGGCAAGTTTTTATGACAAGGCGATCACTGTTGGGAAGTATGCTGTAAGTAGTACAAAGACTTGCTGAAGGCTAGCCTAAAGCGATGTAGAATGGACGATGGGAACTGTTAGGTTGCTACAGCTGATGGGTGAATTGAGAGATGTCTGTGCTCTATAGGCATCAACACTTGAACAAGAATTGATCCAGAAGAATATTGGTATATGAAGGAGAATGCAGTTGCTGCCATTCAAGCTGATTCAACAGAACCAAACACTTGTTCCATGAGCAGTCACATCTGTCTCTCCCATACAGGTCTAATAAGCCACAATGAGCCAGCAAATGGAAACACTGGCTTCTGCTGGAAGGACACTCTTGCTCTATTTTAAGATGTAGCCATGGTGATGTGGTATTTATGCATCCATACTGGTCTGAGGTATTGCAGCAATGAAATTGAGTCGATTTATCAGTTGCTGGTTCTAAATAGGCATAGATATAAACCAATATGATGTGCAATCTGAAAAAAATTAAGAGCTGTTATATTAGGCCTTAATTCATTGTATTGTCTCTGTGTCATATACTTGTTTAACATATAATATATGCTTCAGTACATGCAATACAATGTACACCATACATGAAAACTAAAGATGGCATTCCTTTTCATAGCTTGTGTGCAGTTATTTTTGTGTGATAGTGTTTTTTTTGTATTGGTTAATCTCAGTTTATTGATGGTTTTCTCTTATCCTTTTTTTCTGAAGGGAACTTTGCACTCATCTCTCATTTAGAAGACTGAACTGTGCTGTAGAAGACATATCACAAGAAATGTGGCAGAACAATTGCTATGTGGAAAATTAAGCAGATCTTCTTTGTGTCTTCCAGGAAAATATTCTTGAAAGGATTCACCTGCATATAGTGCCTGATACTGAAACAGATGTGTGTGTTTCCAAGTCCTGCATTACTCACCAAAAGTTTGCCATGACTCTGTATGAACAGGTAAGAAAGCACGGAGAACAAAGTTATAGGTTTCAAAAGCAAAGCCAATAAATATTTTGTGAAAGTTACATTAGAAAATGCTTTTAATGTTAAATGGGATTCTCAGTAAGACTGAGGTCATCAGAATCATGAGAGTCTTGACTATGTTATAATCCCTGTATCCATGAAGAAGGTGGCAAAATGGATATTAAATCAGATCTGGAATCTAAATATCAAGATATTTGGAATCCATATATATACAATAAATAAAAATATATGTTAAATATAATTTGATTTAATTATTGGATTATTTAATTTAATTTAAATATTTTTCATGTTATTATCCATTGATTTGTCTTATTCTTTAACATTTCCCAATTTACTCAATTAAGTTGTATTATTTTCTCTAGTTATTCAGTTATTTCCTTTGTTTATGAATAATAAACACTTAATTGCTTAAAATATTTTCCCTAATTCTATATTGGGATGTTTATTCTGTAAAATATTCACAAGAACTTACTTCAAAGGTTTGTGGCCTAGAGGATATTATACACCTGATCTAGCAAGAAAATAAATAAACCTTACTGTCATACTGCTGTTCCACGGACATGGCCTTAGAATTTATTGGACTTCATTTGAAGACTGAAAACATACAGCTCATTTCTGCACAGGAACAAAAAGCTTTAAAAGTCTCCTGGGTAGTCTGATTTACAACATATCAGAAGGGAAATTAGAAATTACGCAAATGATATAATTTGTTATATTTCCTTTTTGTGTACAATGCTTTGTTGATATGTAGATTAGAAAAAGTGACCACTGTTGAAATTTGTTACAGTGACTCATGAGAACATTTTTTTCCATGTGAGAATTCTATTTAAATGTATTGGTAATTTCCTTTTTTTCTGACTCACTGTCTTCAAATGCCTTGTGTGCCAGTTTATACCTTTTTCAAAATTAAAAAACCATTGAGACCAATTTACTTTGCATGAATATTAAGATAACTTGGTAGATAACATTTTTTTTTTCCTTTAACAATACGGGTCTTGATCCTTATAACATAAAGTAATGCCTCTATGTGTATGGAGTTTTAGTAATCCATTGTATCTTTCCAGATATACAGTAGTCCTTTAATCCACACTTTCTATTTAATATTATTGCTAGCTCACTGGTTGCATCCAAACAATGATACAGTACTTAATACAAAATCCAACTGTGAAATTCTTAAAATCACATTGCAGTGCAAGTGGCATCCAAAAGAAGCAGCTTCTAAAAAAGGTCTTTATTTTATTTCTTTCCAAAGTGTGTTTGTCGTAGCTGTGGGGCGTCCTCTGACCCTCTACCTTTCACTGAGCTAGTGCACTATGTCTCCACTACAGCCCTCTGGTAAGTAACACTCCACGAATTCTGTAGAAGAAACTCAGCACAGTAGACTCACAACTTGCACTCTCAACTTAGGCGGTCGGCTCCAGAAAATAAAAAAATGGGAAAAAACGCTTTAATCTCTTAAAAATTCATCAAGCATGCCTACAAGAACTTGTTAGTGAGCCTATACAGTTGTCTTATTTACTTTTATTTATTGTTTGTATCCTTATTAAGATCTTGTATTACCAAAATTGGTTAGTAGGGGGTTATTACAAGGGTTATTAAGGGTAAAATATGACTACAGTATATGTGAATTCAGCTGTATGACCTGCTCAAAATCCTAACCCCCTGTGTAAGCTGTGAGTCTGAGTTTGACTGTGCTGTAAAACAAATTTCCCCTAGGGGACAATAAAGCTTGAATTGACTGTATGTTAAATTATTGAAAACTGCCATTAAGGGAATTTGTTCTTGATTTAGCCAACAGGTTGACCTCTTTCTGGAAAAAAATGAACGTCTTAGGTATGACATGTTCGGGGAACTGCTGCAGGCAGCAAGTACGATTGGGGACCTCAGGAACTGCCCTGTAAGTGGAGATTTTTTCATGACGTTTTCTGTTTTGAAGGTATTTCTAAGATTAAAAAAAGGATTGTAATTTTGTGATGTCATTTTTCGTGTTTTAGTAAATGGATTCTCAATACAAAGGGAAGATGTGTTCGTAAAAGCACATCACCCCATTGAAAAACAATGATGTTTTTTTTTACTTCATTCATAAAACCACCATCATAATAAATGTTGCTGTCATACCTTAAAACATGATGGAGAATCTCCTGTAAAAGTAAAGGCAACCAGTAATAGACAATGTACAAAGTCTGTCTGCTGACAGTAAAATCAATTTTGGAAATGGCTTGTGGAATTCAAATTTTATATGAGACAGCCAAATAAATCTAATATACAGTAACTTATAAATACTTATAAGGAGCAAGTAAACAGTTTCACACAGAAAAGAGTGAAAAGAATAAAAAAAAGTATTTTTTTTATTGTAAATCTCTTTATAACACCTGCAGAGAGCTATAATGCTACCTGTTGAAACAACTTCATCTTACATACAGTACATTATGGTAGCGTTAATCACTAGAAAATAAAATCTAAGATAATTTAACATTTCTCATTGTGAGCCCATATTTTTAAAGCCAGCAACTGAGTATGTGGTATTTTTTAGGCCAGTAAGAGACATGTTCTGTCATTCAGAACAAAAAGGAGTGGCTGATGGTATTAGTTTGTGTTATGATAATAAATCTATCAAGCCAGTAAGCCCAGCCCTGTTTGTAAATCTGAAAAGCACAAATTAGGATGACAACAGCTTTGAAGCCATAGTAAGAAATTGTATGTATTATAAAAAAAATCCCCGTTTTGTACAGTAAATGATTGATATATAAGGTGCCTTTTCTCTTGTCATTCAGAGACAGACAAGAGTGAAACCTGGTGTGATTGTTGAAACCGAGTTAAATATATCCAAGGGATTGTTGTGTCTGACGTTCTTTATCCATATTAAAAGTGTATTGCCGTAATCATTGGAGTTCAGCGCAGCATAAACGGATTATGTGCCTCATACGTACTACTTGCTTTTACATGGAATTAAAGACTAGGTTAATCTCGTATTTTATCACTGAATGGGCTGTTCTATGCTTTATTTTTTTCAGTGAGATAAATAGTAGTTGGTACGATTAACCTTTTTTAAGAGAACACAAAAGAAAAGAAACAGTGGTTGCTATGTTACTGATTTCTGCATTACCTTATCTACTTATTTAGCTTTGACATCATCTTTAAGCAGTTTTCTTTTGCAACAAAAGTGTTTCTGGTTTCCATTTGTCATGTGCAGTATGCAGGCAAATTGTAAATAAAAATGCAGCTCTAATCCTTTTTTACCAGTGATTTAATGCCAAGTGTGATGAAGCAATTATTGAAGCAGTCTTAAAATAATTCAGCCTAAAAGAAATTCATTTTCATTTATAAATAGCAACTATGTTTACAAAAAGATGCACAAATCTGTATGTAGGTCACTTTATCAGTACAGTGCCATGTTTTTACACATATGTTTGAAAAGCAAGAGTACTCTGAAGTTTTCTGTATATTACCCAGAGAAAGTTACAGCTAGAGAAAAGTACCTACAAAAACAATGCAAGCTACTGTATAGTTAGGGCTGCCAATATTCAATGTTTCTTTCTGTCTTCTCAGCCTACCTAGAAATTGTAATTGGTATTATTAAAAAGTTCAAAACTTCATTTAAAAACAAAGTGTCATCTATTGATTATAAAATTAATCAATTTGTTTTTCCTGCTTATACAGTACATTTGCACAGCAAACCAGCTTTCCTTTCACTATATAAAGGATGAAATATGTTGTCTTGAAACAGGTTTTTGCTGAATTCAGAAGCTGGCGAAGAGCAAGACCAATAGGTTTATAAACTAATATTAATAAGTTTACATATCTGGAAGGCCTGTCTATGTTACAGGAATACAAATATTCAAATATGATGGTGAGCAGTTTGAAAATCAAAGAGGGAAGGAATCCTTTGACTTCAAAACTGTTATGTGAGCTGGAAGTGGTTAAAAAAGATGAACAGCATCAACAAGAGAAACCAATCCAGTCGTTTCTTTTTGCATTGATTAATTGGGTCAAAGGTTAATTAATATTGTTGGCTCTGGTGGTAGAATAATGGGTGTAGAGAAAGTCAAGAGAGGAATCTTGTCTTCAGTGTGAAGCCTGTCAGAAGCAACATGCAGGGCGGTTGGCAATCTGGATGGAGAAATTCTACAGGAGATTCAGAACATATCAACTAGGAATATACGTTTTAGAATGCTTCTGTCCCATGATAAGGACATAATTTAAAATGTTAGCTGAATAAAACAAATAAATGGAGCAAAGATCAATTTCTGTTTCACAAAAGGAACTGTTTATTATGATGGAAAGAGCACTGACTGTTAGTCACGGACAAGGAGGTGCTTTGAGCTATGGAAAATATAATCAACGTGTAACGTAACATTTGTTTGTCTGGTCAACTAGTCTAAAACCATTGAACAAATTAAAGTAGAAAATAGCAATTGTTAGAAATAAGCTGGGCAAAAAACAAATTGTCGAAATAAAGCATTCAAATCCAAAAAATGGTCATGTAGAGTGAAATAATTTTACTGTTTTTTTCTCTCCTTTTAACATTATCACTAGTGTAGCCATACCAATTTCACCAGTGTTTGCAGTTTGTCTAAGTCATCAGACTTGAAAAATGTGCTGAAATGTAGACATAAACACAAAAAATTCATAATGAATTGTATTGTACAGATAAGTAACTTTCATCCGTATAGAACATTGGATTCTTTTAACATGGTCTGCCTTGCTTTTGTTTTTGAGCAGTCAGCAAGGGATAGCTGTTATTCATCTGTGAGGATATAAATAGCGCAGAAGGCTTATCCACAATCACCCTGTTATTGCCATTGGCAACTGTGGCATTCAACTTCATTAAACCTCTGCCTTGTGGAATTATTGTTTGTTCATCAGAAAGTGGTATACTGAGTCACTTACCCATGCATGCAGTGATTTCATGTTGATTTTTGTTTTCTGTTCATACTAAATCCCCGCCCAGCATAACACAATTCCAGTAACTTTAATGAACATTTAAATGAAAAATGGAAAATTACAAACTGCACGATGTGTTTTAGTCGTGTATTCAACAACAGCACGAAAACCTTTCTGTCGTAAATAGTCAATGAAGCAACCTCATTTGAAGTGGGTCTGGATTTGATGAGTGTGAAAAGTAAAAATCTAACAGGGCCTGAAATTGAAAAGTCACTGAAACATGTAAATCAGACAAATGAGAAAAGGTCTAAACATGTCTATGTTTAGTATCTATTCTAAGTATGAGAACTAAACACATACATCCATGCTGTAGTTCTTAATATTCATTTGGTGTGATGTCATTTTATCGAGTATTAGTTGATGCTGATAAAAGGTGTAAGCCCTATTTATTGCTATTTCTGTAAGTGTACTGAAGAGGCAAAATAAACGCCAATGTAAAAACTTTCATATACTTAGTACGGTTCTAAAAGCTTAATTTATCATGTCTTTATGTAGTATTTTGATCTAATACTACAGTATGTGGTTCTCTTTGCTCTACATCTCTACATATTTAATTTACTGTACCCTTCAAAGTGATGTATTTTAGTCCAAGAGCTTGTAGGTGCTATTTTTCTGAAAAAAGTAAACCCATACAACATAGTTACTTCGAAATATACATCCTCTAACTGCTGTGTGATAACTGAAAACAAGGTGGTGTTGTAGTAACTCATCGACCCATCGATTTTTTTTCCCAAGAGTAATTGTGGACAAAGGATCAAGATTAGACGTGTGCTCATGAACTGTCCGGAGATAGTCACAATTGGCTTTGTCTGGGATGCGGAACAATCGGACCTCACAGAAGATGTCATTAGATCGCTTGGACCACAACTGAACCTTTCTGGGGTAAGAACATAGCATGTGCTGTCACACACATGCTTTAAAACTATTAAAGCAGTAAGTACTGTAAGCAGTAGTCAAGGGATTATAGAGTTTAATGACAAACATTGCCAAGAGATGCATTGAGTTTGATTTCTCATATGTTAGTGAGCTCAGAGCTACACAAAGAGCCAAGATGTATGTAAAGAATTACATAAAATGTAGCAAGAAGCTGGCTACTACTCAGTCATTTTGGTTCATTCTCCATTAGAACTCTCAACAAGACTGCTTCAAAACACAATCGCGGTCTAAAATCTAAGCCAAGCTGATTGCACAAACAGAAATAATCTTTGGTTGCTAGCCTCTACTCACAGCTAAGTCATCTGATTAAATTTGCTAAGGCTCTGAATGCAAGGAATAAAGAAACATTTTACCATTATACAGAAAGTACAGAAAATGTAACCAGTCCAAACCCTAAGATATTTTGTATTTTATTTCAAATGAAAACATGGAAGCAGTAAGTAGCTGTGGCTTTAAGTTGTATTTATTTGGTGGTGGTTTATCCCTAGTGGTTGCTGTTTTTCTTTGTTTTTGTTTAGTTTTAGCTTGTGTGAAAATGGTGACATGTCACTTTAAGTTCTCTAGTTGCATAATCAGTTCCCTTAGGTGTGTGAAGCCTTACCCTGTTTTCCTACTGATACACAGTTTTATCTCCCACTGGAAAAGGCAGCTGTGCCACATGTTGCAAGCTGCCCAAAGGGAGGGGAGAGGAGTTAGATAGTTCTATGTGAGGATCTGATTGTCTTTTTTTTCTTCCAAGAGCATTGTGTACAGAGCTGTTGTCCTTTTGTGGCTGCTCTTTCCTTTGGTGTCTTAAATATATATATATAAATCACAAACTACGCTTTCTGCCAGACAGCTAGTGTGTGAGTTCAGGTGGGTAGCTGGGTCAACATGCGTAGGCCCTGAAGAAGCACACCTGAAGAAGGCTCCTCGGCCAAAACGTTATGTTCTCTTTCTTCTTTTTTTCAGCATGGAATAAACCTATTACTTGTTCCTTTTCAGCTAGTGTGTGAGATTTCAAAACACCTAAGTCAATCTTTGTTTTGCTGCTTACTTCACAAATTGCATGTACTGTATGTCCTTTTAAGCACGGCAGGTCCGTATATTTAGCTGATCATTAATAAATGCATTTTCCTTGTTTAGTGGATTTGCATACGTTCCAGTCACGGATTAGTTTAACAGACGTCTGCAGAACTTTACAAAGGGCCTGATTCATACTGTTTGGAGGACATGTGATATTGGCAAAGCTGTGGTGGCATAACTCCCTCCCTAGAATCTATTGTTGAAGGTCACCAAGGACCTGACTGTTTCAATTGAATTATTAGTGTAATATAACAGAATAGTTTGTAATTGCTTTGTAAAGATGTATGCAGTCACCGTTTTATTGGATTATAATCTCACTCAAAACAGTATTGTCAAATGGTGTCACAATGTTGAAAGACACAATTTCTCATATTACAAAATATTCTATGTTAACTTTAAAGGGTTCAGTTTCACATTTCAATGTTTAATATTGCTATATTCTGTGTGAATGGCTGTTGGATTATTAGTTCAGGTCCCTTAAGGCAAATGTATAATTGTCAATTTCACAGCTAAACTTTTACTTTTTCAGTTTTTGTGACTAACAGTGAGCCGTTATTATTTAAGGGCAACATCTCATTTGTTACCCTTCAGTCTATTTTGGTTGCTAGTAGCTAGGTAATTCGAGGATCTTCCCAAATTGTTCTTGAAAGGCCAGGGTGTTTGTGTTTCAACACACATTTCTGACAAAATTGAGTGGTTTAACTCTGTGCCTTTGAAGATTCTGAATAATTTAATCAGGTCCAGGTGTTTGTCCAGTCTTAATTTTTGTCATTTAGAATTTCCTTTGAAGTTTGTACAGTGTTTACTAATTTACCTTTATTGGTCTAATCGTTAAACTGGTCTGTTAACTGTACCAGAATCTAGATCATTGATGTACATAAGGATGAGCAATGGTCCTAATACAGATCCCTGTGGACTCTGCTGTTGTCATCACAGTAATTTTACTGTTGATGTTAATGTTGAGTTAAACAAAAAATTATTCGCTTATTAATATTCTTTGTTTTCCATGCATTATTGCGCCATAGAGGTGCCGTGCTTTTTCCCCTGTCACCTCTTGATTTATTAAACTACAGTTGGTTCACTTGTGTCTTCCAGCTTTTCTATCGAGTCACAGATGAGCAAGCAAAAAAGACTGACCTAATTCTTGTGGGAATGATCTGTTATACCAGCAAACACTATTGTGCCTTTGCTTATCACACCAAATCTTCCAAATGGGTGTTCTTTGATGATGCCACTGTGAAAGAAGTAAGTATTAAAGAGCAGGACTGCTTTTAAGATAGTCTTGGGTTTTGTTATTCATTAACTGTTCAGCCTTAGATGTCTTTGTTAGCAAAATGGGATCTAGTGCATTTTCTCAAACATAGCATGTAAAGACAGAAAAGGCAATTGTTTGCTTTGTGCAGATGAGATTCTAAAAATGAAGGCTTCTGAGGCAGTCTGCTACCTGTACATCGTGCTGAGTCTGGCAAAAGTGACTTGTGTCTGGCAGTTAATGTACATTAACACATTTCCATTGTTGGCTGCCAGTGTTTCTTAAGAAAAATACCTTGACTTTAAAAGTAGGAATAAATAGCAAATATAAAAACATCTTTAAAATGACAAAAAAACATGCAGGAAAATCTGCTTATAAGGTCGAGCCCGGGGAGACTTTGCTAAATTCAGATCGTTCAAAGCCAGAGGAGAGAAGAAATCTATTTAAGTGGTCATAAGTTACTGTCCTGTTAAAAACCTATGATGACATACAACTGCTTTGGTGCAAAACATTGATCTTTATTAAAAATTAGATGACTATGTGTTTTTTGATGACTAAAGCCCAGAGTGAAAAATGTCCTCCCTCCTGCATCCTGGAGGTACCACACCCATTGGTTATCTATGTTGTAATCCTCATGTTGTGAAATCTCAGTATTCCAGCGCTGGTGAATCGTTTTTAAACTCTGACATTAGATGTGCATGTCGTAAGATGCTTTGGTGTCTGCAGCAGTGGTAGAGCATTGTATTCTCCAGTCACTGCTGGCAATGGCTCAGAGCTTTTACACAATTTTTATCAGTTTCTAAAACTGAGTCTTGCAAGTAACACTATTTCAGTTTTCATGTTTTATAGTTAATATTCATATTTGTTATAACTTTATCAGCTATGTATATTTTATCCAGTAGCTTTTACCTGACCAGCCACAAACCTATCAATTTGCCTGACAAATGCCATTTATTTGTCACTACCCATAGTGACTTTTTAAGACACAAACACTGTGCTACTTGTGCAAAATATATAAGAATTCATATTAAAAACTTATGAAAAGGGGAAGTGACATTTTAGAATATTCTAATTTGACCCCATTTAAGAGCATAGTTATATCTTCAGTGTTTTCATTAAAAAAATAATTGTATTCAATAGAAATGCAAACTTAATTTTATGACACAGATAAGCAAATTGAAGCACGGAAGGTAACGGCAAAGCTATTTGATTGTTTCCTTTAGATGATCTAGAATAGCTGAATAGTATACCTTCTTATTGTAAGAAACGGCATCTTTAACTTCCACCTTCCTGTTCCTGATGTACTTTGGTTCTTCCCATTCTCATGCCTTTGAATTTTCTTGATACTAGGTTGGCTCAAAATGGAAAGATGTGGTTTCTAAATGCATAAGAGGCCACTTCCAGCCCCTTCTCCTTTTCTATTCCAATCCTGATGGAACTGCAGTCTCCACAGAGGATGCCCCAAGACAGACCACCCTTTGGTCTCATTACAAATCTTCAGTCAATGGCGATGGTTCAGGTCAGTGTTCTTTCCTGTTAATGTCATTTCATAATAATTCAACTGTTTGCCTCCATGTTATTGTCATGAAACCAGACATTTTTCAAGTAGTGCCAGTACAATATGCTGCCCATTGTTCTAACTGCAGCATAACTCAAGGTAAAACTATTATCCTACACAACTAGCATTTCAGGCATTTGAAACCATTTGTTTTTCCTATATTGCAGTTGCTACTTCAAGGAATTTGTTTGTACCTTTACGTGTTTTTGGTTGACTGTTGTTTCCTGTTTCCATTTTTATTTAGTGATGGTCTGACTAACCACACTGTCCAAAAAGCTGTGGAACAATATTCTTTCTTTATTTTGGAGTCTAAAAATATCTGTGTGGGTTACATGTGTAATTATAAACACGCAGTGTCATTGCTCAGAAATGCTGTTTTTATTTGGTCATTGGTGAAGCAATGGTCACTTCCTGTGAATTCAGAACTATCTAGGTTTTCCACTGTGGGCAGACTGCCCAACTCATTTCTTTTCTATGTGAGCAGTTTATCCACAGTTTTCCCAAAGAGGAAAACAAAAACCCCATCTTCCTTTAACCAAAGATTCACCTCCTCAAAACAGTGGTGTTCTAATAAAATCAGAACAGGTTTTCGGTCACAGTGTGATGCACACCTACACAAGTCGATTTGGATAGCTCTATTTTTTAAACAGTTTTAGCAATTTTTCACATGTCCTACAATTCATGAAAAACAATGTTTTCACAGCAAGAAAGTCAATTTTACCAGTTAAAGCAGAGCTAAACCAAACTCACTTGTTGTAATAAAAGTGAAGATGTTTTAGACAATCTGATAATATTATGAAATATATATCAGTATCATTTTACATGAAATATACATCAGTAAAATCTACATATTTTTCCATAATTCAGGCATAGCCATTAAAACCATTAACTTTCTTCAAATCATTTGATCATATTTTTTTTACACTTCTAATCTAAATTGGATAATTTTACTTTTTCTCCTTCCTTTAAATCCTGATTTCAAAAGCGGCCTTCATATACAGTAATTAATGGATAGATACCAACACCGAGTATTTTACTAGCTCTGTTCTGGTTCAGTTCAGTTTTGCTTTAATTAGCAAAGTGTAACTCTTTCTTAGGAAGATCTGCTGAATTCATAACAGCTATAGTTCTGATTTATGATTTACTTGTGGTTTTGAGGACATTCTGGCTGCTAAGAAGAACTGTATCACTGCTTCAGACGTAGTGTCTGTTCAGTGTACAAGTGTTTCATTGAAGTTTAAACTCGCTCTCTCTGTCCTCAAATGCACCTTTTAGGAACTGTTCTGCCCCAGATTGCTGTGGTTACTGCGAGGTCTGGCTTTTCTGAGAAGTTTTTATTTGTTTCTGTTGGATCGAGGGAGAGAATAGAAAACAAATGTTTAATTTGGTTATAACATGGGCAATGTTTGTTCTGTTTTTTGCTATTTTTGAGCTAATCATATTTTGTGCATGGTATTTTTTTATAATCATCTCTATTTTTATGAATTCATATTGAATTATAGTGAACTGTCTGGCAATTATTAGTTACGTTTTTCTACTGTAACAGAAAGTTTCTCTTTATGGAAAATTTGGAACACCACCCAAGGGGTATGTTTTATAAAATCAACCCCCCTACATACAGAGCTCTGATCAAAACTTTTCACTGTTTGCCAAGTGACAATATAAAGAGTTGTTGACGACAACAGATAAACATTTCTGTCTCGGATTAAAGTGCGGGATTTATTTCGGCTTTTATCTTTTCTAATGATCTTCTCTTAACTCCACTGCTTGGAATGTCTCCAAGTTACCAAGGCAACAGTGGTCTCTTGTTATTTACCTCCTTCATCAGTCCACTTTCTTAAATTTAAGTTAAAATAATACAGATTTATATAAGTAGTTAAAGGAGCAGACTGTGGTATATTTCAGAATATAGCTCCTGAGTACTTTCTTAAGCATCAGCAGTGATGTGCTTTTAAGATGATGAAGTGTAATACTGTATACTGCCACAAAGAACAGAGGATTAATACTGATTATATGATGTGAATCCACCTTTGTAATAAATAGTTTATAACCCTTAATTACATTTCAAGTGTTTCTATGGTAAAGATGTTTTTTAATTAGATTTTCTTTCTCTGTATGTGAATACTCTGCACCTTTTTTCCAGAAATAAAACAGCAACAACAACAATTCTGTAGAATAGTAATGGCTTTGACGTGCAACTCGCTGTACTGCCGTTAATGAAAAATATTATTTTTGCTTTACAGTACATGATGTACCAGTTTCCGCAGCGAAGAAATTAGAGCTTACAAAAGAGAATGTCAGTGCCCTACTGTCAAACCAAAGCAGCTTCAAGCAGAAACTGCAGCCGTCTTCCAATTCAGGATTTATCAGAGGTGCTGGCCAGACAAGTGGTAGACGAGGACCAGGTGAGGCAAGCCGCAGGCTATAGTGGAATGAAGTCTTGCTGGTTCACAGGAATATTTTGTATGAATTGTAATCCATTCCTATTCTCATGAATATGATGTTCTCCCAGTCTGTTTGAGAAATATTATAAGTACTGTAGGTTTAGGGCTGATGTTAAATAAAGGAAGGATTTCTTACTGGCATGCTTTCTTACAGGGTATTTGGTTGTATAGTGGGTTTATTTTGTCTCTTTGTGTAATTTCGTATTGCATGAAAATAGACTATTTTACTTCACTTTCTTATTGTTTTCCTTCACATAATAATTCATTTTTTATTTTTGTTCCTCAACAGCCGTATGCATACCTTTTTTGGGCTGGTACTTTCATCAGTGAGATGCAAAGAAAGTTATTTAAAGATTACAAGCTATTTTTTCTTTGATAGTAGCTTCTATCCTCTTTTTTAGGGAAAGGAGTTAAACAGGAAATGTATTATTTTTTGCTCTGCATAGTACTTCACATTCAGGGTTCTGGGAAAATACTGACTTTTCAACCATTTTTCAGCACAGTATTTGCTCAAGTTTACATACCATGAACAATGATTTTGCTGCTAAACAAAAATAAAATCAAGTGTGCCTTTCCACACTTTACACAGGAAAAATAAATCCCAGAAGAAAAAAGAAGTCATCTTGTAACTTTATATTTAATGTTAATTCCTCATTGGCTTGAGAATTTATTTTTCACATTGCCTATTTCAGGTATTGTGGTACAGTATGTTTCACAGCACGAATTTGATTCTCTGCCACAGATAAAACTTTCTACCTTTATGAAACTGCAGGAGAAAAAAACCTTAATGTAACTGTAATTATGTAACGTGTTTCTTTCTTTCCTGTGCTTCCATCTCATTTATATAATAACAATGCATAACACTTGGTTGAAAGCATTGAGAGGGGTCTTTAAAGCTGTCATACTTAAAATCAAATGGTTACATTTGCATTTGCAGTAAAAATCATGCCTGGTGATCCAAAAAGCAAGTTAAGAGAAATTTCCCGAGAGGTGGCGCAGAAGGCAGGAGAGGTCCGAACTCACTTGCAGAAGAAAGAGATTGAAAAGGGACAGAGAAGGCAAGAGTCTGGGAGACACAGAGGTATTTGTTGTTCCTGGAAAGAAATAAGACCTGTAGTTCAGTCTCTTGTTTGTATGAAGTCAAGGTGTCATGTTATTGTACATCAAAGCCTAACTTGCCCATTAAGTGGACTGATGTTTGAGCCTTGTGGATCTGCCATGGTAAGCTGACAGTTTGCAAATAAATTATTTTTAGCACCTACAGAACATTTGTGAAAATAGGAAATGTTTGTGAAAACTGTAAGAATTGTTGTTGTATATTAATGACATTTCAACATTTTTACTGCAAACACACAGAACACGTAGTAGACCAGGGACATGTTAATCATATGAAATATCTACATATTGTTTGCTTTGCCAAAGTTAAAATATTGCATCGTAGGTTTTGGTTTAATGAGCAAAAGCCGTCAACAACTTTATCAGGTTTTCAGAAGTTTGTGTAGGCTTCTTTTAAATCGGGGAAAATTCAAAGATGTGACAAATTCAAATAACAATCTATGGAAGGTCATTGTGTGTTATATTAGATGGATTATGTAAGTTATTTTATTTTAATTAGTGCAGAATGGCAGAGAAGGGAACATCATCTGTCTACTAAAGGCACAACAAGCTCAGTCAGTAGTGCCTGTGGCAGAACAGTGATTGCATAAAGAGAAGTAAATTACATTTCAAAACCCACAGATATAAACCAATCCAAGTCAGACAAGTGTCTTGTCACTACATGAGGCAAGGAAACTGTAGAGACCTTGTTTGTGTCCCAGGTTTTCTTATCTGATTGGCTTCAGTAGTTCAGTTTCAGGTTCAGGTTGGCTCTAGGGTTCATAGTGTCCCTCTGGTCCAGCTCTGACAAAATCAGTCTTAGTTGAGGTCACTATGTAAAGACACCTCACCTCAGACCTCTATGAATGTTGTTAATAATGTATGAAAGATCAAGGGACATCTTATAAACTTACAACCAGCCATTTCCAGTTTTGGCTATTATTATGAAGGGAAGATGTTTAAAACTGTTTTTTTTTTTTATTTCTATTGAGTTAATTTAAACACGATAGAATTAAATATGCCCTCAACTCTGCTTTGGACTACGGCAAATGCCCTCACCACCTATTTTAAATAGTTTTCTAATGGAACAGCAGCTTTCCATTCTTATTTTATCTAAAAGTATTATGCAAATTCCATGCATTTTCCATCATTAACATGAAGTAAATATTGGACAAGACCATGATACTCTTGAACTCATTAACACTGGAAGAAAGACAAAGTGGGAAGCACTTCTAACTTATAAACCCTGTCACCAAGTGTTCCACCATGGAATGAATTAAACAGGTCAGACTGCATTCCTGACTTCTCATTGTACTCATTCCTTTCACAAAAGCATAGCCCTTTAACACAATTGCGTCATAGTTCTGGCATGTTCAGTGTCGGCCTTTTAGAAGGTATTTCTTGTGTGCTATACAGTCTAAACACCTTGGGTTTTTTTATGCCAAAAACCACCTAGGACCTGATTTGTTGTGTCAGTATCCTTGAAAGACCTCTTTACAGCAACAGTCACACAGCAAGAATGACTGACCTGAGGGGAAACGTCCCCATGGGGCATTAAGTCATTGACTAGAAAAAAAGGAATAAAAAAGGAAAAGAAGAGAATGTACCCATGTAATCTTGAAATATGGAAATAAACAGTTACATATTTCTTGCATAGAATTAAATCAATGTATTTCCATTTCAGATTTTTGGGGGGTAAGACTAAGATGTGGGATTCTTTGTAGCTTCTTAACATAGATTTTCTTTTTGGAAATGTGTGGTTCACAAAAAATGCACTTGGTCTCTTATGAGAAATATTTTAAATGAAAGCAATGGATTATAAAAATACACGAGTAACATAATGGTAATTCCGATGCGTGATTTCTCTGGTGAGTTCATTTGATTCAGTTCACGTTTATTTGCTCTGTTGAGCAAGTTTAACTAGTTGATTTTAAAGTGGTAAGAGTAACATAACTACTCTGTGTATTTCAGTGGAATACAAAGTTGAGCCTAAATCCCATTTCTGGTTTATTAATGGTATATAATTCATTCACTACTAGGTGTACAGGTAATGCTACTAGTTTTAGGTAAATACTGTATAGTGACAACACAGAACACCCTTGTAATTATTGTATGGTTCATTACTAAGTTTTTGTGTAGATATTGTGGTCAGTACCATCTAAAAAAATCTCCTGAGCATGGTATAATGATTAAGCGTGGAATCTTTTATTAGAAAAAAACGTCCATAGCGGCTTCCAAAATTATCCTGTTTATTGTCAAGCAAGTCTATAAAGACCATTAAGGCCACCCACCCTTAATATACCATATTCAAGTACAAGTCTGCAGCTAGGTCTTCTGTATCTGTTGCACGCATAACTGCAGCATGAGGACTTCATTTAAGCAACAGAGCATGATGATTTATCGTGTCTTTACTGATCAGATAATAGAATGCCCTCTGAATCTTGAGTGGTACGGTATGTTGAAGCAATGGTAATGCAAATATCTTCACCAAAAAAAGAATTCACAATGCAATTTTCCATTTTCTCCTCAGGAAAGTCAGCATTTAGGAGTCTGTCCTCTCATTACTCTTCCTTTTTTGCAATTATTGTATCATTACTTTTCCAATTTAATAAAGAGGCAGAGGATTCTGTGTTAACAGTGTCTGATGTCCCTTTTCCTACAGATATGCCTTCAGACAAGACATACCCCTCTTCAGAAAATGGATTCAGGCAGAATACAGACCAAAGGTTGTACAGCAGTCAAGGAAAAGGTCCTTCACGGAACGATAAGATTGCCCCCCCAGGTAGGGCTCATGAGCCCAGACTGCCAGCTAATAGAGTACAAGTCCTGCCAGGGCTCCCCAGTGGACAGAGCAAGATGAAGCAAGACGTCTACAATGGCTACGACACTGACAGCAGTCAGGATTTCAAAGAGAAGTACAGTGGAGGCCGTAGCAAGCCCAAGGCCTGGAAACCCATGCGGGAAACGCTCAACGTGGACAGTGTCTTTAGTGGGCCGGAAAAGCGGCAGCACAGCCCGAAGCGCAGGCCACCAAACCAGGGAGACAGGACCCACTATGACCAGGAGCATGTCACCTCCTGGCCCAAGGAGAACCGCAAGCAGAAGAGTCTGATGACCATCTACGAGGATGAGCAGAAGCACGAGACGGGAAGTAAGAGTTCTCTGGAGTCTGAGGGGAAAGTCCATGCAGAGAAAGAGAGGACTAAGGGAGGGGTAAACAATAAGGTCCGCAATGACACCTGGAAAATGCAGAGGACAGAATCTGGGTACGAAAGCAGTGACAGGCTCAGCAACGGATCTACGAATCTTGATTCTCCTGTTGTGGAAAACTTTAGCTCTAAGGACTTGAGGCCTATACCAGAGGTGCAGTTATCAAGGTAAGATACTGTTTCCTTGTATAAGGGTTTCAAAGGATGGAAAGTAATTGGCGATATTCTTTTTATTGAATTTTAAATTTTGAATTGAACCGAATTCTTTTGAATGATGTCTTCATTTAAATGTGTAATAGTGAGACTGAAATAACCTAAGGAGCAAAGGAACAAGTAAAGGTTTATTCCATGCTGAAAAGAGAAGAAAAGAAACAACGTTTCAGCTGTGTTTCTTTTCTTCTCTTTTTAGCATGGAATAAACCTTTACTTGTTCCTTTGTAGCCTACGCATGCCGACGCAGCTACCTACTTATAGATTAACGATGTCTAGAAGTGTACAGTATTTCCCATAGTGACAGACATTTTGGAAAATACTGTCCATAAGCTAAGGGAAAATATTTCAGCATTGGGTAATGCCAACGCCATCATGAGGTTTTTCTTCGATCTAAATAATATTTTTTTTTTCATCTTCCAGTTTCAAGTCCTAAATAGACACTTTTTAAATTGATGCAAAACAGGATGCCCTTGCCTATTTGATGTAAAATAAAGAGATTAATATAAAATCTATAAAACCGGTTTTGAATGGTTTTAAACATTTTAGGAAATGTGGGACAAATGTGGATGAAAATAGTATGAGAAAAAGCTTGTATCTGATTGAATAAAGTGCGGCAGGGTATCCATAGAAATAATTGTAGTCCCATTTTGTACAGTGTACTGCCTTGCTTAAGTAGGGCCCTAGGAATTCCATTTTTGTCTTATCTGCTATGAAATCTGTACTTGTGTATTGCCTTTTCCATTTTCTGTATTATGGAAAAATTTAAATATGTTGTACCAAGTGTGTTGTGTAACATACAATTGCGTAGGCATTTTTCTCTTCTAAAACAACCTGTGAACAAAAAGTTTCATTTCATATATATTAACGTATGATCTAATACCTATTTACCATACATTACCTGAAAAAACAGCTTATCATAGTCGGGTCAGTTTGCAATTGAATCATATGATAAATATTTTTTTCTTGTTTTCTTTTATTGCTGATTGTTATCCAGTACGGGCTGCTAAAATGTCCTAACATGGTCTAACTTGAATTTTTATGCCACAATAATTAGTGAAGTCCTATTTTCTGCAATTTGTAATAAGCTAATACTGAAGTAATAAACTAATATCTGCTTTAATAAAACAGTAGTAATAAGGGAAGGCGTACTGTTAAAGGCAGCAATTGACCTCTGATTTATATACATACAAGGACAAATAATGGTAAGAAATTAAAGGTTTCTGCCTTTTGCCATGTTTGGGTTTTTAAGCAAAATTCCTGTGATCTGAAGGAACTGCATAAGTGCTTCACTCTGTGCTTTTTCATGTATTCTGTAAAATATGAAAGCAAACAAAGTAACCAAAACTGCTTTCATCTCAATGGGAATGAAAACTGCAAATTGGCCACAAAATAATAAATTACCTCTCTGGGACAACATCAACAGCCGTGGGCCATATGGAAAACAAAGCCCAAAAATGTAAAAAAACAATCAAACTTTGAGTTCAATTAAACTGTGGTTCTCTGTATAGGTAATCAACCATTCAATAGTAATTAAAAAATACATTAATTCTAAGTTTGTAAAACATTTCCTTTGTTAATTGACGTGCAGCTGCCTGTGTTTTTCTCATTACCAACAGAGAACAGATGATAAAGTATGATGCCATTCCTGTCTGCCAGATGCTGTTCCTTAATTATACAGCTCTGGTATACACCATTTTGAGCAACAATAATGATTGAAAAGAGTATGTAGATTCACAGATTTGTAGATTAGCATCATGTTACAGCAAGGCAAGGTTTCACATTACAATATGTGAATCCGTAACTTTTGTTTGTTTTGTGTTTATTAATTAGAGGTTTTAGGTTCAAAATAATCTCTTAAGAAACATGGCCTTAAAACAATGCTTAAAATATTTTCCAAAGGGTTGCGTTCAAAAGCTAATTTACATTATTTCCTACTTCAGTAAACTGAAAGTTATTTATATTGTCTTAGGGATCAGCTCCATCATAACAGATGTGATGAATCAGTGGTCGACAGCTTGCATTCCTCTTTTTCCTATGGTAAGTGACGGGATAATTTTGTGATCTTGCTTGGAAATATCCTGTTGCATAATGCTGCAGTTTCACATTTCATCATCTCCTATGCTTGCACTGAAGTAGGAGAAGGAAGTAATAACAATGAACAATGTTGTGTCTGTGACCTTGGGTTTGACATTATCCTGTGTAGCCAAGCAAAGGAACTGTTATTGAGCTATATGTACTGGTCCTCCCAAACCGCAGCTACAGTTTAATATTTTAAAACATTTCTGCAAGATGAATTCCTGGATTAAAGGAAATTTAGGTTATTTGCAACTTTAAACAGGTTATCACTGATGGCTTCTGGAAATGATAGTGTTTATTATTCCCACAAATTTCCCCACCAAACAACAAATACTGTTTACTGTTTGGTGTGTTTGATTGGTGTTTTTTTTTTATATATCGCATAGCATACAGTAGATGTTATTTAATAAAGCTTTTTACTTTGTTTAGCTTTTTCTGAGGTTCACCTGGAATATTAACAACATATGGGGAATCTTTCTATGCAGATCGTTTACACAGGTGTTTCCAGAATTTGTAATGGACTGGGAATGACTGTAATTCCTTCTTCAGGCTTATTTTATGTAGTGTGTCCTACAACATTGTGCATGGAAATATTAAAAATCTAGAAAACACATTGGGTTTGGTGGGATTACATGGCTTTTTTCAATTAATCAATGCTCTTTCATTCTGTCAGTCCATTCTTTTTGCTTGTGCCGATGTATATGTGCATGAATGCCTTTTGCTGTTACTAATTAGGTTATTAAAAAATGGAAACTTACAATGTTTAAGAAACGGTTCATCATTAGGTAGCACACTAAACAAGAATATTATTCTGATACAGTGTCATAAGGACTAGTAGCAAATAAAATTGTATTCTGGTATATTCAATGTAGGTGATACAATTTGCTATTTCTTTTGTGAAGTCAGTTTTCATAAGTTATAATTTTGTCTGAAACAAGTTCATAGCGTGTCAAGTGTTTTTCACAGGACAAATGTAGGGAATCAAACAGGCCATGTACCTGTCTGTGTAGCAGATAAGATCACAAGAAATGCAAGTGACATACCAGTACAGTAAATATACCTTATCTACTGTGGTACTGAAAGACAGATTTTAATAATTACTGTCTACATAATACAATTATGTACCACCTTACTTAAATGTTCTGAAACTGCTGTGGTATGAAGAAATCAATAATCTTTCTTAAAATAAAATACATACAGAATTAAACTGTATACTATTTTAATGCTTTATGTATGTGTTTCTGAACAATGTTATTCTCTGTATCAAACCCTCACCAACTGTTTTTCAGTGTACTGCTAGTTAAAAAGAAGATTACTAGAAATGTTCTATTCATAAAAAAAGAAGATTACTAGCCAACTAGAAAACTATCCACAGATTCTATTTATAACGTCAGTCTGGATAGAAATAGATTATGTGAAGGAAATAGCAGCAAATGGGTATATCACAGTATACCCTTCTTATGCTCTGTCTGCTCTATCAAATGAGTGAACTGTCTGGTTAATCAGCCTTGCAAAACAATATCGCACAGCAGCCCCTGCAGTCTAATCTGCATTTACTATTTAAAAACCACTGCAAATTCCCAGAAATGAAATCCATGTAACATGTCCTTATGAAAAGGATAAACTGGTTGAGGAGGCCAGCTGTGCTCACTGAGCTGGAAAATGAAATAGCTCAGATGTCAGGAGGTGGCATTTAGATGAGGAAAAAACTAGAAAAAGTTTGTATACTTTCCCCTTTTTTTTACAATAAAAGTGTTTAAATAAACTGGGGGGAGAAGGATAGATGCAGACATATTAAGTACGGGTAATTTCTCTCTTGTCAGCACTGGGAAATCTATTTAAGCTAAGAATTATTGAAGGTGATTTATGTAAGTCTTGTGAGCTGAAGTAGTGGAGTGGAAAGGATGGTGTTTAATAATTTAAATATTTTTTTGATCTGCAGTATAGCTAGATATAGTAAAGCAGACATACTGTAAATGCTCTCAGGCTCCAAGGAAAACTGTTGGAGGCTTTTGGTTTGTTATTTCACCATAACATATGGATATAACATTTGCTTTTAAATAAGTACTGTAGGTTTAAAGAATATCTCAGCACAATATGCCATGTTTTTAATGGAAGGTGTATCTTGAAGGTTTTGGTCTGGTCATGGTCTGTATTTTATGCCTTTTTGCATGTGACCAAAGGTTTTCTTTCTCTGAATCTTCTTCACAGTTGTGCTCCTTTTCAGGGGTAATTAAGTAATGAACTAAAACTTTGATTCAGACAGCACTTTGTTTAAAAGGAGCCTCCATTTATTATGAAGTTGTTTTCCTTTAGTATGAGAGCTGTTGTTTTTGCTTTGAGTTCTCTAGTACATGTTGACTTTCCCTTGCATCCCATATTGATGAGCTGTAGCAAATGTGTTTTAAGTCAATCTGGCGAGGGTTCATACTAGGTATTCTGGCAGAGCTGTCTGTGTAAGGGGCTGTTGATCCCAGTATCCATTAAAGACCTTGAAACTGTTTTAAACACAGTGAAACAAAAGCACAGTGTCATTCTGTTCTGAACTTCTTACATACGTAGGTTTAATGTCAAAAATATAAATCTATCAGGCTATTAATGTTATGTATTGCAAGGGAGCTTGTCTGTGTTAATAAAAAAAATCAAATTGTCTGTGGATACTGTTGTTTTATTGGGTATGCTTTTCTGTCACCAGAACACAGACAGCCTTGTCCAAGAATGTTTTAATTCCAAAACAGCTGTTTAACTTAAAGGGAAGCTCTTGTTTGCTTGGAATGAGGTGGAGTTTTATTTTGTTCCTTGACCTTTTTGGGATATGTTTCAGGGAAAATCTTTGATCCCTCTGTGCTTAAATTGTTGCATGCAAGGCAATGTCCAGAAAGACAGCTTTAAAGGTCACAGTTTACAAATATTGCTCTGTTGAAAAAAAGCCATGGTATTCTACTATAAATCATTTTCACCCAATTGGCTGCAATTGGCCTCCTGGTCCCTCCCTGCAAAATTCATAGGAGATGAGTGTTTCATTTGTTTGGAACATGTTCGCACCCGTTTCCTAACACTAAGTTTACGCAGGGTCTTCGTGTTTCATGCAAAAAGGCATTCCTGCCTCAACCATATTTAGGTGCATATGAACCTTGAGCCAAAATTCCCAATTGGCTCTCTTGAGCTTTTAGCCATGCATGGATCTGTGGGTCAGCAGAAAAGAAAAAATAACGTGTCTATTTATAAAGTCCTGGAATTCACTGTGTGCAGGCCTCCTGGTGTTGTAGCGTGTGTGCCTGTAGTTCTTGACAGCAGGCCATGCCTCCGTTTATTCAAACCTCTGCTGCCTCCGTATGTCTAAGTAGAGAAACTACGTACTGTGTACAGTGTTGAAATTACGACTGAGCAGCCCATTTTCTGTGCTCCTTATTAACAGAAAGCCCTTGCATATCATCTTGCAGAATGGGTGTGAAAGCTTTTTACCCCTTTGCAGCAACACCCTCAAAATTAATCCAGATCAATTTATAATGATTTGTTCAAGAGGAAGAAAGTTATTAAAGATGATTTTATTTGCATTTTACATACATACAACAGAGAAAAATACATTACCCTTTGTTAGAGTTCTGTCTCTAAGCTTACACGATTAATTTGAATAAATGAGCAGGGGATTGAACTCTTTCAAAAATATCCATTAGGTCCTTTGCAAATTAGATTTGTTTACATGCCAGTGGATATGTAAAGAGTCTGGTATTCTCTGAAATGCAGAACTCTAGATACTAAAACTGTAGGTGTAGTTTTAATAGACAAACATATTTTAAATGGACAAAAATAAGCCATGATTTGCGCTATTCTGCCTTGAGAATTAATGCGTTTCTTACCTCGGCTTTCCTCAGGGTCATTTCAGAGAGCAAATGTATTACATTTGAAAAAATATTCTTTGAACAATTGGAGGATCAGACATATGAACAGAGATTTAAATTGCTGTGTGAATACTTTAGTTTAAAAGAGCTCTTCTTATCTATAGTGTAGTCTTATTGCTATTTGTTGATATACAAAAACACTGAGAAAGGTTAAATTGCATGAAGTAACTTTTGCACATATTTCTAAGGAAATTATGGGCAGTGGCAGGTTTCTTCCTAATGTATGTGCTTTAAAAAAGACTTAAAAATGATATAGATGTGTAATGAAAATAATGCTTAGGAGTTTATATTCCTAATTACACAAGTTCCAACTTAGGCCTTTCATTTTCAGATATATGTGCTTTGGCAAAAAATAAGCTGTCTATACCCAACCAAGATTTAATTAAATTAAATACCAGTTTTCTCAGGTATTATTAGACCTCAGTAAGTTTTGGCAACAATCGGAAACTGTTTTATAGCATGAAAATACAAAAAACATGTGAAGGATTCATCCACACTTTTAAGTTACTCAAATTTCTTTCACATACTCAGTGAAGAAAGGCCAGTTATTTTATTATCCATGTGTAGAAAGCTGTACTGTTTTAACAAGTTATTCTCTTTTCAAAAAATTATGTTGTAGAACATCCTGGAAGTAACACTATATGAGATTAATCAAGGAGTATATGCATTTCTTTATTTTACTTTAATTAGTATGTGGAAGCAATAACACAATTGCTTTGATAGCCTAAAATCAGTACATTTCAACAGCCATCCTCAGATTACAAAGTGAAATTTTGTAACTTATTGCAAAGGACAGCAAGATTGTTCCTAGTTCCTGTACCATAAGAGATAAACGGCAACACAAGAAGGAACTTCAAGTGCAAATCAGGTTTAGGGCTATTTAAGACTGGAAAATAAAGACACTTACTTAGACAGGTTTGTGGAAGTCTGAAACCATCTTTCCTTTAAGAAAGGAATACTAGTAGAATTCTTAAAATGTTCAAATAATATCAACCAAATGACCAAGATAAAGCTCCACTCAGCAAGGCAAGGCTGTTGAAATGTATTGATTTTGTGTGGAAATCAAAGTGAAATAATAACATGTCTTTGCTCTTATAGTAAAAGGGAGACACTGTTAGTTTTCTTAGTTCCCTTGAAAATGTCAACAGAAAACAGATTGTTGCTGAGGGTAAAAACTAAAATCTAGAGCCAAATTTCCTAAAAACACAATAAGTAACATTAATAGACAGTTTGTTCACGGTTTCCCTACAAAAACTGGACTCTTTGTCATTTTAGAGTTTTAATTTGAAGGCCATTACAAAAACTGGACTCTTTGTCATTTTAGAGTTTTAATTTGAAGGCCATTACAATGGGAGTTGAGGTTCTTTTTCTACGCCAGGGAAACGGTGTAGTTAATTTCTTTTTTTATACATTTTTAGCAGCCGTGCCACGAAACAGGTGAAGTAAGAAATTGCTTTAAAATTTGAATTAAGAGGAAGCTTAAGAAAGGCCCCGTTGTTTAAGCCCAGGACTGGGCTTAACAGTGGCCATGTGTGCAGTACCTAAGTTTAACATCTCAGCCAAAGGATACCATCTTCTTCAGCAGTATCCCATTTTGCAATACTGGGGCACTGGTTTGGATATTCTGGTTCAGAGAGAAGGGTACTACTTGTTGGTCCAACAACACCATTTACAGCAGCAAAACTGATTTCCTTGAAAGTCTTCACTATACTTTCCAATAGTGTACAGCGATCTCCTTCCCTAATGTCTGAGATGCAGTTACAAGGTGGTAATGCTGCTGCTCTGTAAGTTAATAGCTAGTAAATGGGTCTCTTTAGGTCAAGTGATCTAATACATGTTGCTTTCTGAGATCATGTACCAAATGCATTCCCTTAGTCTATCACATGCAGGATTTCTTCATGTAAGAAGTTGATCTTTTAACACATTCTTTACTATTATGTCCTCCATACATAAATGTATAAAGACAAAATCCATGAAAAGTACTAGTTTGTCTTAGAAATGTTCCCTTTAACAATACACCCATTTACAAACACAATATTATGGTCCTGATTAAGATTAAGCCAGTATATGATTGCAGCCTTTTGTGAGGTGTTTTTCTGCTTTCCAGTGGAAACATACCATCTAGTACCTGCCTTGTCATTTTTAGTTTGACTGAATGATAAAGATACTCTTTGGGCTGTAATGGACTATACCAGCTGTTTCTATTTTTATTTTAAAGATTTTATTTTGCACTTTGACACCATTGACTCTCAAAAAAAATTGTTGCTGTACATTTGGGCTGAAAAGACATAACTTGCTGACTCGTTCTGACTTTCTGTGTTGGCTCAAATTCAGATATCCTTCAGTAATTCAATTGCAAAAAAGATAACAAGCAGTTCTTAAAATATGTTTTTATTATTTACACAAGCAAAATCCAGAGCATTTGTTTCAGCTTTTGTAACTTTTTGAGAACATCACTTGATGATTATAACACAATGATTGTCTAAGAAAAAATAACACAGAAGACCTCTGTTTATAAACAGAAAGACAGGCATTTGTGAAAGAATGAAGTAAGGATAAACAGATAAGGGTGGGGGATGCCATTAGCAATAGAGAAGGATTAAAGAGTTACAGTTGAAATTAAAAGAAAGGCCCTTTGTTTAAGTGAACACTTTCATTTCTAGTCCGTTCATTTGCTCAGTTCATCTGTCCATGCAGGTATTTCCAAACAAGCTTTTATATCCCTAGAAAGTCTGTTCACTGTCAAAACCAGAAATATCAGGTACAATGCAGAACACAGTTCTTGGAAAACTAGTATGGTCAGTAGACTGGTTACAAGCAGTTTAGAGCCTGAATTTTAGAAACCCTGAAATGGATCTACATTTTATGAAACAAGGTTCTTATCCATTGGCAACCTAAGGTATTTATAACTAAAAATATTAGTTTCCAATCCTAGTCATGCCTGTTTCCAGCTTAGTTATTTGGACAATATTCCTACATTGTGACAAATGATATAGCAGCTTGCTGTCACAAATGTCCACTCATTCTTTGTAACAAACTGATTGAAAGAAACAAATAGTTCAGCATGCAGCTGCCCTGTAACAGCAGTTCTGTTCTTGTAACATTTCACAAGATGCCTTTAAGGCAAAACAAGTCATTTTGATGCTGTTTTCCGATTTACTTCATTCCTAGTGCAACATGCATAGCTGCCAAGATGTATTAGGATAACAAAATGAAAGAATAACAAAGATGTTATTATCATTCTGAGTGTTGTAATTGCTTAGACATGAAGCCCTGGCTGACAGCAAAGAACTGGATTTTAACTTTGAAGAGATTTTAAGATGATACCTGCGTAGATGTAAAGTTGTGGTATACCTTTTTGTTTAACAAATCCTAAGGCCAGTTTTCCCAGGAGCCAGTTAACCTGCCAGTGTGTTTTTGGACTGTGGAAAGAAAGTGGAGCACCCAGAGGAAACCCATGTGAGCTCAGAAAGAACATACAAACTCCATGCAGATAGCACCTCAGCATTTGAACTGAACCCAGGGCCTGAGTGCTGTGAGGCTACGCTAACTAATGTGCCACTGTACTGGCCACCAAAATATGTATTAGTATTAAATTAAATACTGGTAACAAAATGTGTTAATGCTGCATTTACTAGCTGCTTTATATTATGAGAGCTTGCTGTTCCATGTTGTAATTCCAAATAAGAAAAACAAATAAACATTAATAATTTCCTTAGTGTGTAACACAAAGAGAATTCCATATTTTTACATACAGTATGCTGTACAAAGACATCAAGAAAACTTGCAAATTTCATTCTGTTTTCAGTATAGCCCCAAAATAAAAATATTATAAAAGGAGGAAAGTTAATTTTAATTTAAAAGTTAATAACTAATTACAATTCATTGTTACAATAAAAACAGTTAATCGTTCTGAAAATGCGCAAAATGCATGTGTGAATTCCATCTTGTAAAAAGACAGCAAAATGAGATAAATCAGAAAGTGTGAGTACATGGAAAAAAAATGCTATGCAAAGTTTCGAACAAGCTGGACTAAGCAAACCAAGAGCTTGTCAGTCAGTTTGAGCTGCACGTGGCTCATTTCTATTGTTTTTTTCTCCCAACTGGAATACATTGTTATACAGAGCCCAGAAACCTGATTGTCCTGTTTGCTCTTCCTTTCAGTCAAATGCCTTTAATCCCTGTAATAGTTTCAGGTGATAGTGAACACTGTGCAAAAAACAGTTTTGCTCATACACAGGATTGTGTCATTGCTGGTGCTATTCAGTCTGTTATTAATTTCAACACACCATTTAGTTTTTTTTAATTACTTGACCTAGAAACTAAACCAGGCCTATAGTTACAAATTGCTTTAAATTTTAAGCAAAACCTTTTTATCTCTCATTTAAGAATTTCTTATTTTGCATGTGTTTTTAATTGTATGTAACTCTAATATATTTAGTATTTTCTCTTTAAATGATTTATACAGTCAACGTTTTGATATTTTTGGCTTTCATGGTTAGATTCTAAATGCAGCAGAGGCTTTAATCACTGTGACATCCTACTGCTGATCTGAGATTTGATTAGGTTCTGCAATAGGCTGGCATTTCCTTGTTAGGCCATGTTTTTAAGGAAGTATGTTTAAGTGGAAAAAAAACAAGAAAGGAGTTTTAGGAGATACTAGTAGTAATTTACCAGAAGTTTTTTTTAATACAAATAATGGATTCCAATCCAATAGTGGAACTATGATGCTACACATACATGTCTGCATTGTACTGTGATTTTGTTCACTTTTGATTTAGTTTTAGCATTAATAGAAAATCACATGATTGGAAAAAAAATACAAGGACAATAAAAATGTTTCATTTCTGCAGTGAACATCATTTTGCCGTATGTCTTATAGGACTAGAGTACTTGGGAAATACTATTTGTCCTTTATAGTGTAGTACCATATAATTTCAGTTTCAAAATAAGAAAGGTATATTATTTGGTACATCTGGATTCCTCCATCTGGGTTCTCCAGAGATCAGTTGTTCAATTTTTTTTTCCCCTTTTGCACGCAAACAGTGTTCATACATTCAGCAATGTACAGCCCTGTTACACTCTAAAGAGAAACTATTTGTATCTAGTCTGTTCATCTGATGTTGTGAATTTGAGAGGTTTGTGATTGGCAATGAAGGGGCTACATTGTGTTCCTTTCATTCTGGACTGAGGCACCTTCACATGTGGAGTTTGCATATTCGCCCTGTTCGCGAGGGTTTTCTCTAGGCATTTCTATGGTTCAAAAACCTACAGGTTAGGTTAAATGGTGTCTCTAATTCATCCTTGTGTGCATGTGTGTGCCCTGTGATGAAATGGTATCCTGCCTGATACCCAGGGCTCTCAGTTGCTGCTACCCTTAGCAGGAATAGGCAGTTCCTTAATGAAGAATGGACAGAGTGCAGAAAACTGTTTTTGGAAAACAGACTTGACCACAAGGTGGCACCAAACATTGAACCCTTAAGTCAGAGTTGCCTCTGAGTAACCTCTGTGACTAGTATAGAGCACAGATTCAAAACTGGACTTTATTTATTATTTATTAAATCAACATCATACAGTTGTATGACCTGTGCATTGCCAACATAAAGAAATTAAAGGCTGTTAGACCCTGCTAAAGGTAACAGATGTGTATCTTTTTTAGGGGAACAACAAATTAAACGAGCTCCGGAAAAGGACTTTGCAACTAAAGAGGGTCGTGTGTTGAGTTCTAGTCCATGTCTACAAAGGTAAAAAATAATTAAACAATGCCTAAAATCAGATGATTAATTGTTCCCTTTTGTTTGCATTGGGGGGGGGAAATTATCTGCAGTATTAATTGTTTCACAATGCTGAGACAGGCAAGACTTCTAATTCCATCTTCTGCATACATGATATTGACTTTAGCAGAATTGGGCAGATGTTTCAACATTTTACTGGTTAAAATTAGCTGTGTTGATGTGTCGATGAGCCCGAATAAGGTAAAACAATTGTCTGTGGCTTCTGCCTCCATATATACATAATCGTGATTCAGACATCTCTTTAAACAGATCCTTCTTTGTGTTGTGAATTGGCTAATAATTGTAAATCCCCATAAACCATTGTAACTGCATACTCTTAAAACAAACCAGAGAACCTCAAAGGTGTTCTTTGTAGGATACTTATATATAATATATCGGTATATAGTTTGATGTCCTGAATTTTACCTTTGGGGAACAAAAAAAAGGTACCTTTTTGTAAACAATTTGATTTTTTATCAATATAGAATTTAATTATTCAAACCTACTATATCGAATGCACTCTGTAGAGAGCACAAAATATACAGTGAGTGTTTTTGATAGCATCAGTTAATTGTGCATCATATTCTTGCAGAAGACAGGCTATCAGGAATACTTCTGCAAATTGTGAAAGGAATAAGTGGCCAGATGGAGACCCAGTGTTCTTAGAAGAGAAGCATCTGCAGGGGAATGGAGAAGGATATGGTAATGGCAACTCTTCCCTGCAGTATCTTCAGAAAACTAGTAGCTCAGAATGGAACAGTTCAGATGACCTAAATGGACCAATGTCTGAGCAGGAGGACAACACTTCTATTTATGGCAAAACGGCACTACTTAGATCAGGTATTGCACAACCATTCTTTCCAGGAGCTGCCCGCGAAGAAAACTGTGATACCTCTGAACCCATTTATCAAAACCTGGCACCACCGCTGCCTCCCAAGAAGTATGCACAGAGGCAAAAGACCCATCTGGATGATAACAGATCGACCTTAAGTGCAACATCACATCTGCATCCTTTACAAAGTGATGCTGCCCCGCCATCCAAAGTATCAGGTTCTCCGCCGCTGACTCTGTTAAACAACTGGGCTGCCTCGAAATATTCTGCAAATGCCAGATCTAAACCAACCTCTTCCAACCAAGAGAGGATGGATCTCTTTGCAAAGCATAAAAATAGAAACAATCCAAAACTGGATATGGATGTTGTAGGACCAAGCGAAGAAGTTTTGACGACCACCTATTTTTCTGTGGACAGCTGTATGACCGACAGTTACAGATCAAGGTACCACCACCAGAGATCACCACTTTACTATAAAGACTCCAAGGGAGGAGACCAAACCTCTTCTGGGGAAAGTGAATTGGGAGACACAAACTCTATGGAACCGTCTCTTCAATCAAATCTCTCAAAAGCAAGACCAGAAACAGGTATCAGAAAGCTTACAGTCTTTTCTATTGAGACTACACCCATCCCTTGATTTCCTAATGTAATTTGTTCCACATAAACTGATGCAAATAAAGTGCAAATTCATAAACTCAAAACAAAATTCCATGTACAGTACATGTGATAAATTCCCATTCATTCCCGAGGTCTAGAAGATCACCGTTATTTTTTTTACCTTGATAGGGTAATTATAAGAAACAAGCAATAGTGTTCTTACTTGGATGATTTGGAGGTCTGTTTACCCATATACTGTAGTATCAATAGACAAATAAATAAAATGTGTAAAAGAATACAAACACACTGAGGAATTAGTTGAGTCTGTAGGGGGAGGTCACACTTTGAGGATGGTGACTTCCATTTGGCTACGAAGCACACCTTCACTGTAACAAAATTCTCTTCGTAACTGATCAAAACAGGTGTGAAAATACATGCTTCATTATAGCTAAAAGTCAAACACTATTTGTAATTTGTACACAACAATTCTACTTTTATTGCATTCCTCCTGTAACAAAGGAGATTGATCATAACATTACAGAACTCATTTCGGGCAGTGTCACCCTCTTTATTTTACCTTGACAAATGTCTAAAGAGGAATGCCGTTATGCTAGGCTACCTAAACTACAGATATGTAAGCAGTATATATATAATGAACATTTTTGGAATTTTTCAGGAATATTACTATACAACATTTTTTTCACAATATTGTTTACTGATGTTTTATATATACAATCGTAGGCTATTCAACCAATAAAACTGCTGTAAAGTGGAATCCAGTGTCTACTAGGAATTTGGATGAACACGGGTATTTGTGATGGGAGATTTCAAAGTTAGCATCGAGGTAAGACATTGAGCTTTTTAAAACAAGTTTGCTTGGTAAAAATGGTAAAGCTGCACAGAAAATATTTGGAGATATTTAATTTATGCAGTGCTGGCTTCATTTAGTTAATTGTATTAGTAGTACATTCCTTTTCTTTTGTCTCCACAACCCAGAAAAATGCATTACTGTATTTGATTAGACAACAGGGATCTACGAAAGTTGATCTAATGTTTATCATTATGCACAGTTTTTCGTGAAAAAGACGGTAATAATTCTCTGCCCAACCTGATTACACTCACTAAATATACTCCTGTCTTCATTGCATGAATTTTACACAGGTACCTATTTCTTAAAAGAAAAATTGCCTTGAACTGAAGTCATCAACTTTTTTGGTTTGCATTAATGGTCAAGACAGTGAAAATTGTTCCTGGGGTGTTCTGTCAAACTAATTTGACATTAAAAATCTAATTCCAGGTTCTTGCACCTTCAGGCAACCTTTACTGTCTTGCAAATATTGTGTATTAATGCAAGTCTCCCCTCATCATTTCTTCCAGGTTTGAAACTGAAGATAGAACTGGACACCAAAGATTACTACCTAAAACCAATTCATCCCATCACTTGATCTTCAATCAAAATAAAGCAAACATACGTCAGCAGCATTGCTACTTCATGTTAAACAGTACCACATTAAAACTGCATGTAATCTCCAAAGCTAGAAAGCCTTTTTAGTACTCCCCTATAGAGGGCAGTCTAAAACTTCATTTGCACTAATGGGAGCACATTAAAGGGGGGAAAAGCCTTGTTTTGTTATTTTTGCTGTCATTTTTACAATTACAGTTCTGAATTTTTCCAACTGTTCTTATTTAACTATACTAAAAAAATGATTAGATCAATTTTGAGAAAAGGAAAAGAAGAGCGTCAATGGGAAGATTTCTGGCCATATCAGCCCAGTTTTCAAATGATTGTAAATCCTTTTCTTAAATAGTGAAAATCATACTTGGGTTCTATATCTATAATAAATCTAGCCAATTCACTGACTTGCATTTCAAGGTCTGTGGGTGTGATTAAGAACTGATAAGACATGCTTTGTTCAAGAGGAAAAAAAAATAGACATGCACAAAAGGACTGCTACTTTGTCCATTTAAAAATTACTTGGAATACCAACGTTTTGTCTTACTCGTTTTACCAGAAAGAAAATAGAACTTTCTTTACTAATTTCTATAGCAATAAGGTGAAAATTCCAAATCTGACATGAATAATCTCACATTCCAAGTATGATGTTACTGGAGTTCCGGAGTAAATCTAAAAACAATATTTTACAAATAGATGTGTGAATAGTACAAACCAAGAAGCTGAAGTGAAGGAAAGCACTTGAAGATTTTATGACTTGCATGATTTGTAAAGACAAACTGCTGTATTGCCTTGGGAGTTTGATGTGGTTTTGGTGCCTATGCAGCTTAGTACCTTTCTTTATGGCCTCTAGACTAAACCCTTGAATAAAATTTAAAAATGTATCTATCTCCAGTCTTGAACATTCACATTAAAGGATTTTTGCATCTAAAAACATTGAATACAGCACTTTGTCATCATGATGATTTTGTTCATGCTCATGTGTTCTTACTTTTTTGACACACTTTAAATATTTTTTTGTTATGTTGAACTTTACCACAAATCAACATGTCAGCTCTCCTACTGGGATTACACATACAGTAGTGTTGGGGGGATTGTTTTTTTCTTTCAATTCACAACTTTCTAAATAAGAGGAAAGAAGTTGTCTTGTATCATCCAAGACATTTTACTATGTGATACTATAAGGAATGAAAAACGGTTTAGGTTAATTTCCTGTCAAAACTGCAAACTATACAGTATTTAAAATGTATATTATTGGTATACTTATTTCTTCATTGACATCCATGTACAGTTTGTATGTAGTCACTTACCCTTGAGAGTAACAAGTTACATTATTGCAGAAATTTACAGATCTCTCTTGTTTCAGAGATAAGAGATTAACATGTCTTAAGTTTATAATTTCTTTGCTTTTTCTACAGACTTAATGCAATGCTCTAACTTAACTGGGGCTGATTATTCACCTGAAGTCAGCACTATATGTAAAACATATCTATTTTTAACCCATAATACTTTTTCTGTGAAATCTTATGTCTATTTTTTGATCTGACATAAAATTTTCTATAAAGACCAGCATTTGTTGCTGCAGTGCCTTTCTATTTTTCTATGTAAAGTAATACAGCTGTAAAATATGAATCATAATTTGTACAATGTGCAATTTTGAAAATGTTTTTGTAACTTGTAACTGAATTTTTTTATCTATTAACAGTTGTTTAATAAACTGTCATTATTATTTAAATTCTACCTTTTTTTCTCAGACATCTAGAAAACAATATGGCAAAACTGCATTTCTAAAAGTTATTTTTTGTATTAAGAGAAGCAAAAGAACAGTAAAGGATGGTTTAAACTGTAAAAATACTTTACTCAGGTATTCACCAAGAGGAAATAACATCTGTGGCTGAAAAAATAAAGTTTAATATTAAATAGTATTAGCATAGAAAAGGCAGAAGGGTTTTTAGGTACTAGAAGCAGGAAGATACCATCAGGGCCTGATGATATTGTACCAATTCTACTTGAGGAAACCAGTTATTCATAGTTCATTCCCAACAACTGTCCCATAAGACATAATAGTTGGAGTAACCATCTATAAAACCAAGTAGTTATAATTCAACAGGTCATATGTTTTAAAACAAACACTAGATAATCATTTATATGGGAAACAGATTCCTAGGGGATAGCATGGACTTAGAGAAGGTGGGACTTTGTCAAAATAAGCAACATCTACAATGTACACAGCAACAATTTACTTGTATGTAAAATAGATTTCAATTAAAATTTCTCCCTAAAAGATTCTCAAATTGAAGGCTGTAGACCCTTAAGGTAATGTATGGTTGGATCGAGAACTAGATAATGGTAAGTAAACAGTACAGATAAGGGACAAATAATATAATACCAGAGGGGTCTGTATTTTATAACCATGTCTCTTTTTAACCATTCTAATTCATCTCCATCATATGTATTCTACATTGTTTTAATGAAACCTGCAGATGGTAGTAAAATAGGAGGATAAAGAAACCGGAAGTTTCAAATTCAATTCAAATTATAAAAGTTATAAATTCAAGACCGGGCATACACCTGACAATGTTTTATGTAAAAAGGAGCACGGTGTTACAACCATTGTTATGACCGTTAAAGCAGAATTATCAATTTCTAAGTAATGTGACCAATTATTTTCAAAACCTTTTAAATGTAAAACAAATAACTGGGAGGGAACCAAATACCTACTCACAATTCTTAAAATCACTAACAACCAAATAGATTTCTTCAGAATTAATAGTGAAATATGATGACAAAGTGGAAACTAGTTGGAAGTGTATTTAAAATACAACAAAAAGGTACATTTTTAAGAGTTTTGGAGTGGTCTCACACTTCAAATACACATTGAGGCCGACGCCTTGACTGTTTTCAACAAATTGTTAGAGGTTTAAATTCAGCAAGCTGAATCAGTCAAACGGGCACCCTGTTTGCAACCTTTCTTCTTAGCTGCAATAGGATTTAGTTATTTGCAGAAATATCGTATTGCTTATTTAGACATTTTTATTTGTATATCAATTTCCACTGGTAACATCAAAAGGCTTCACCCAAGAAAAAAAAAAGACCATCATTTAAAAAATAAACCTTGGTTTCTTTCCAGCAGAGTTAAAAAGCATTATGAAATGTCTCTAGGCGACAGGAAATGGTAGAACATTGCTGAGGGCATCTTCCCCATGACAAGTTTTCACCTACACATAAGAAGCAGCAAGAGATGTTTTCATAATCTGATTTTAAAAGCAGAACAAAATCAAACTCCAGTGGTGCTAGTGTTTGTAACAGGACTCCATGCCATGAAGAACACAGTGAAATAATTCAAATCAGTCTGATGGTCAGTTCACCCCCCTCCACCCTGTTGTCAAACAGAGAAAGTTTAATACACTTACAAAGATATTTAATAATATCCTTTTAAATTAACAGTTCAACTCCTGTCTTAAAGTTCCTGTTAATATTTTTTAAATGACATTTTCATGATATATCTAGTTTTTCCACTGTGAATTTTTCACATACCTTAACCAAACCCACCCATAGGAAAACATTGGTTCTGGCCAATATTAGTCTTAGTAATATTAAATTGTGACTATTATAACACTATGGAAGTGTATCGAACAAATATAGCTCTTCATGTTATCTTCGCCATGATGAATATATGAATGGTCGGACCTCAAGCCCACTGTGCATCAAGTTCCAAGGGCAGAACTGTACAGGATTAAAAATAAAAATACAAAATAGTTATTTAGATAGGAACATGTCATAGGTTTTTAACAAAAACTTTTATATTACACATATTCTTTAAAATATTTTCTCTTAAGCTAATCTTAATATACAGGTTGTGAACAAAACAATGGAAACATCAATTTTAAGTCACTCAACAGGGCACTGGGACACCACGTGCAGTCATTATGGGCTGTAGACACTATGACAGAGAGTCTATCAGCACCTGGAACACTACAGGAGGGATGCAGTACCATTCTTCTGAGGTAAAGTCGATCACGTCATGCCTAGTTGATAGGGATCGAAAGTGCACTCGTCTTGTTTGATGAAAACATGCTGAAGGATGATTCATCAGGACTATCTGACATTTCTCCACTCCTTGGCAGTCCACTGCCTGTATTCTTTGCACCACTGGACTCACAAAGCTACACTGCCAGACATGATACAACAATAGTGTCCTACTCTGTGAAGTTCTTGGGAGACTTTTTTTTCAAATGGCTGCTTGCCAGTTTCTGACCTGTTTTGCCTTGTAACTTATAGGGACAGTTATCGTGATCCTGGAGGATGCAATTCTGCCTACTGTTGCACTTTCCTGATAAGGTCTTTCTCTCATAGACACCTCCACTCATGAAACATCAGCATGTGGAGCTATCTTGGCCACTGAAGCTTCTGGTACTCTACAATTATTCTAAAGTCACTGATTTCTCCGCTTGTAGCTATACCAACCACGAATATAGGAAACCAGGCCTGGGTAGCAATTTTATACATGACCCTAAACATGCTTTTATTTGCGTGATGCATTAACTACACCTGAACAGAAACCAAATACTTGGTTTCCCCATCTCCTCAGGTGTTTCCATTTTGTGTCCACAACCTGTAATACCCGAAGTGCTTTAAATTGAAAAATCTTTTTTAAAACCATTATTCATATCAAAATATTTTAAACATTGACATTATAATGATAACCAAACAGCCTATGAAGTGAGAATGTTCACCTCATTGATAGATTTAATGAGTGGAAATGAGTTCAGAGTTGAGCCTTTTGTGGTTTCTCTGACATGAAATTCAAATAAAGGGATATCATTGTTTTAAGTGACTTTCTTGAACTTTTATTGAAAAGCAATGTTACCTTATCCATTTTGGGTGCAATATCAATTTTTGGTCCTGGATGAGCAATTACAATCATACCTGTAAAACAAGAAAAGGGTTTGTAGACCACATTTGTACCAACAGATTATGATGTTACTGTGTAACATATGGATAGCACAATGGTAAATCACAACAGTAATGAAAACATTCTCATATTAACTAGATTTATCATGCTTCTGTAGCTCTGTAACGAATATTTAACATGTTACACAAAATTATTCAGGAGAAAGTGTTCGAACGCTACCAGAAGAAAGTTTTTTTTCCCTCTAGCATAAACACCCTGCTGTAAATGACTCATATAAGCTATATTTATATTTGTTTACTGATTTCCTTTATTTTACCATTATTATGGCGGCGTTATGGTTATTTCAGATTCGCCTTTACACAAATATCATGTTAATACAAACCTGTTTCTGCTCTCTCTTCTACTGTTTGTTACAATTCAGTTCTGAATCGTAGATGTTTTCTACGTGGGGCGAACTTTTCAATTCGTTTATAAAGCATAGAACATGATTTCTAATTGTCATCCACGCAGTATCAATTTTTGAGTATCAGAACTCCAGTTGTAGTGCATAAATACGACAAAAAGAGAATCTACAGGACTGCGAAAAATGTTCATTGGAGTAATGTGTGAAACACTGAGCAATTAAGGTACTATAGTTTGACGATATAAGAAGCTGTTAAAGCAAAATGAAGGGTAAGGAATTTGAGAATTAGTTGAATTTATCCATGCTGAAGTTATTCCCTTAAAAAAAAACTGATTGAGGCAGGGCATTTTTTTTTAACTCAGCAGTACAGAAACAAGTAAATTTTAAAGAGTCCAAAAAGCAAGCATATCTATTCTAAACCTCCTGGAAAACAAGATCATTTGTAGTTACGCAACACATTATCTGTCGGTCTGTCGGAGATACACCAGAATGCTTAACGCACTAAAAGTTAATAACATTTTTACAAGTTTTTGTTAAACAAACTATGTTTTTATGCGCATCAATACTTACTTTTGAAGTGAAGCCCCAGTCAGAGCAGAAAACGATTCAACCGGCCGACCAGGAAATGCAGTAACCCGGTTCTTCCGGCGTGAAAAATACAGTAGGTCGGAGCACAGAGAGGGGACTTCAACGCCTCTGATCAGGGCACCAGCAAATAAACTACAAGAAAAAGCACTACGTCGAAAAGAAAAAACATCCAAAAATCAAACCAGTAGGAATGTTTTGGTAATGTTTCCAGCGCTCCCTGCTTTTGCTTCTTGTCGGACTCCATGTTAACGCATCCTCAGTTGCTCCAACAGATTTCTAGCTACTAGGAATGTGGCCTTGAAAACCAATTAAATCACTCTGATCTAGTAGGATACCGCCCCATTTTCTACTTCTCATTGATGATTGGTTATTTTCAAGGGTGGGTGATAATATTTGGTTTTCTATTGGTAAGCAATACTCTCTTTTAACCCCACTGTGATCACGTCACACTTGTATTAAGGTCACTAAGTTGAGTGAAGACGTTCAGGACATGCTGAATTACACGTAGGCTAAGAAGTGGGGCGCGTCCTGTAATATTACAATTAGTGCAATCAGGACTTAGTTTGTTTATGTTTTACTGTGGGGACAGAACCTGAAAAATACCAGAAATGGGTAACCCTAACTCAGCTACAGACTGTTTGACCCTCTACCATCTGGAGCATTCGTGCTCGGACTACCAGACTCAGAGACAGTTTTTACCCCCTCACTATCAAACTATTAAACTCCCAGTCTCTCTCACCTACGATCTGAACCCCCACAGGGCCTTCTCTCTCACTCTCTCAACTCAAACACACATTGAAATCGACCTCTACCTCACATGTCAAGAAGCTCACTCCCTATAATTTTCTATCCTTTATTTCATTCTGTTGATGTTTGATTTTGCACATCTGATGTTGTTTTGCACATTACCTGTCACCTGCTGTTGTTTTGCACATTGCCTGTTGTCTCTGTCTTTCTTTTCTTATACAACTGTATTGTTGTTGTTTTTTGAACCGCTTACCTTCTGTGAGCTAGCTAAACAGCATTTTGTTATACCATATACTGTACCTGTATACAGTATGAGTCTAATGACAATGAACTTGAACTTGAGACTTAAGACTTAAAATAGGAGGGGTAGTCAGGGTTCAGAACTGGAAAGTGGTAGGTTTAAATCCCAGGTGGGGTGACGCTATAGTATCCTTTTATGAGTTATTTCATTCAGAAATTTCCCACTTTATAAATGGGCACAAATGTAAGTACCTTTGGCTAAAAGCACCAGCTAAATGTAAAAATTGTCTCCACAAAAGCAATAACTCCCAGTAGTCAATGTGGGAAAATCCTCACAATTTAATTGTTTTTTATAGCAAAAATGACATTTTTTAAAATATATAAAGTGCCTAAAGTGTTCAGGTCTTCTTTCATCCTGTATGGAATTTTTGATGCAGTATAAAAAAACTAAAAAACATGGAAAATGAATTTGTAGTTTCCACAAAGACAGGCGTGCAAACGTGTGTGTGTGTGTCTGAACACACTGCTCAAAATAAAGAGGATTTTGAAAAGTCGTAATTCAGTCTGCTTGGATGACTGTTGGCTAAGGATCCAAAGACCATATGAATAAGAAATGTCTTTGCCACTAAGAATTTGTGTTTATTCCAGCTTCGTAATCATTTTAATCTACCGTACATTTACCCAGACCATGGGAAAACTTAGCAAAAACCTTGTTTCTCATATTATTTGGCTGTTGTCCCAGAACCTAAATGCTGAATTGAATGATTTTCTATTTTCCTTGATTTGTAAATTAAATAGTTGAAAGGAAACAGGGAGACCCAATATCTGATAACATCAAAGTACCTTTATTTCCCAGTTACTATATTAAAATATTCAGTGCAAACTGGCTGTCACAAAACATTTCTTTGGAATTCTATGGAGTTTTATGGAAGTACTTCTTATACATAATTTCCCGTTGAAATTATACATATTTCCATAGAACGTTTTTCAAAATGGAAATATACTGTATTGATGTAAAACAGTACACTGTAGTAAAAAAATTCTCAATATACAAAACAAATATTTATACACAGTATTTGAAGTTTTTACACCAGGAAAACAGGATCGCAATCTAAAGAGGCTTTTAAACCCTTTTCTTCATATTAAATTGTTGTGTTTCAAGGAAGGTCTTGAGTCTTTCAAACTTCTTTTTTTCTTTTCTTACTCATGGAGGGACTGGATCTCTCAAAAAATCTTCTTATCCTCTTTTGAAAATTCTCTTGGCATCCACTCCATCATAATGGTAGCTCTGTGGAAAGTAAAGATTTTTCTGTGTTAATGTTTGTGCTGCCATAAGACAAAACATTAGATTGTAAGCCTTGCAGATAAAACCAAAACTACTGTATTTAGATTCTCAGTCTTTAGATTCTCAGTTTTAAGTTTATTGGCAGCAAGGTGGACTAACTCATCAACAGAAAGATACTCCACATGGAAAGACAAAAAAGGAAGTCATCTTTAACTACTGACATGTTTTATTATGTTTGAAGAAGCCTAATTCCAATATTGTATTTACAGTATGCCACATTTACATTAATACTAATTAACTGTCAATAAGGTGAGCTTTATAATCTACCATTATACTGTATGTATACTGTATGTACAGTATGTCTGTTCTGTTATATTGTAACAATGGTCCTAAAAAAGCTAACATTTGAAGTTCTTAGGGTCTAGAAACACTGGATAGAAGATGATGCAATTGCTGAGCTATAAGTAACCTGACAGATATTGATCAAAGGGAATCTTCTGGTCTAACTTATTTAACTTCTTAAAAGTTTAGAAACACAGCATAAAAAGACAGGTAGTCAGAAGCAGAAGGGGACACAAAAAGGAGGAGAGAGAGAAGAAGGTAGAGGAAGCAGGGAGAAGAAAGAGATGAGAAAAACAGTGACAGGTGAGAGGTCTTTGTGGGCATCAACCTTCATTTCCTAGATTAGATCTAACCTAACTCCTCGCTAAGTATTCAAACCTTGTTAAAGAGCTTGTCATTATGTTACTTTAGGAAATTCTGATTTCCTTTCTAAGAAATCCCCAGGCTAAAGATGTTCTGTCTAAAGATACCCAGTCACATTGGAGTGGGTTGTTCTTCATGGCAAGGATGTAGGCGTCTGAGATGCCTTGTTTGTAAATAGCGTTATGTTTTATGTTGTACTGTTTGTGTGTATCATTGTATGTTGTCTAATTATTGTCATTAATTAATAAATATTTGTCTTAGTTTGTCTCTCATTTGTTACTCTTTCACTATAGCTGTGCCAGAGCAGAGAACTCAGGTACTTTTAAATATCACTGGGGTACATTCTTAAATTTTTAACATTTGGGGTTTAGAATTATTTATTATCCCACTCACTATTTCTCTGTATTTCCCCCCTTCTATTTGTAACTATATATTTGTCTTGCAGTTCCTACCAAAGTTTTATGTAACATACTGTAAGTGTAGTTTTGGGAAATGCTAGAATTGTGCACATCAGTAGAAGAAAACACACCTGGATGAGCTCATCCCCCACAATTTCTCTGGTAGTCAGGAGTTCCTTTCCATTGTCCTTTCTCTTGAATTTTCCAACGAGTTTATTTCCTTCAATGGTCCATGTACCCTGCAGATCAAAAACACATGCTATGCACTCACAAATTGCAATCATGATTGAAGTTTGTAGGAATCAGCAAATTATAAAGGATGTTTATCCTTCATAACTTTTATCACAAAATATAGGACCCACATGGACTGCAGGGTGAGCACCCCCTGCTGGCCCTACTAACACCTCTTCCAGCAGCAACCTTAGTTTTTCCCAGGAGGTCTCCATCCAGGTACTGACCAGGCTCACACCTGCTTAGCAGCAGTTTACCAGTTGTAAGTTGCAGGGTGATATGGCTACTGGTTATAAGGAAATGTGTTTGAATAAAATACCAATTCTGCATTTAAATGCAAATTTTTAGAGAAGGGTTTAGACAAATCTCCAATGTTTTTTGTCTTCTTCAACTAAATGGAAGAGAGAATAAATTACTAAAACTCCATAGTCTAAAATTATTTTATACTATTGATACAATTTTCCTAAACTTTGATTTCATAGGAACTCATGAGTTTATATTTTTTTGTGTTCTCCATGGATACATTTACTACAAAACTGGTTAGAAGCCATAGTTTAATTGTCTGATAGAGTGCTTTGTATATTTGAAAAACATAGAACTCCTTCCTGTATATGTTCAACTCTTACAACAAAGGAATCAAAAGCTCTTAAGTAAATGAAATGTTGGTTTTGGCATGTAAAAGTAAAACGCTCCAATGTTAAATTTTGTTGGCATTATCTATGTCTTACGGTGAGCTCTGTTCCATCGGCTAGGCTGTACTCAAAGTTGACTCCCTGTGTGAATTCAATGTCTATTTTGCGGAAGGCGCTGGACTCCTTCACCACAAACTTGTCTCCATCCTGCTCAATAACGATTTTCAAGTTGTCATGGGCTGCAAGCTTCCTCTTCACAAGATTGATGCCTGTTGACAAGATGCCCAGTGGTATAAGGGCAATGAAACAGTTTAGTTAACTTTTAATCACTCAAGGTGACTATATATACATATGACTACAGTCTATATGACTACTATATAGTTGTACTATACAGCTCTCAACTGTATGTCCATGTTAGTACTGTACATTGGGTATTTCTAAAACAAAGCCTTACTGTAATCCTTAATCCACTTCCAATTCCAACCATAAATTAACAATTTTTATTTTTTACTGTAAGTAAGGGATTCTTGCAGAAATAACAACATGGTTAACCGTTCTCCGTACAGTATCTCAAGCAAAGAAAATTTCATGCAGCTAAACATTTATCGTGACAGTATCAGACCATACTCTCTTTCTGAATTGCAATACTACATGGGTAGAATGGGTACAATGTTGCATTGTAGTAGAGCTATTCTAAACACAGCGGATTAACGAGGAAGGGGTCATACTCCTGCTTGTCATGGAATGGATAATTTTACTTATTCAATCAACCTATCAGGGGTCTTTGGTAAGTAGGAGGAAACCAAAATACCTAGAGAAAACCTACTCTTAATTTTGACTTGAGTAGTGGGGCAGCAATAGTAAACAACAAATCACTGTGCAGTTACATTGTATCAGATTGATTAAGGCTTATTAATATTTGGTTAAAATGTATTTTTCCCAATAGATATAATCACATTGTTACTTACAATTTCTCAGTTGAAAAGTCTTTATTTTTATCACATGTACAGTTTTAAAACTATAATTCATATTGTTAAAATTACTCCCACCCATCACAAAATCATTTCAAGTCCTATAAAGAACACTTTTGTTACTTTACATACTGTATGTGGGCTTTATATTCAGGCTTTGCTGTTATATTCAGTAAAATACCATTTAAATGATAAAACATTTTCTAACATACCCATCTGCTCCATAAATTTGTCATAGTTGTCATTTCTGTCCACTTTCCAGGTGCCGTTGAAAGTCATGGTTGCAAGTGGGTTGTGGTTCAGTGAGCAGTGTTGTTTGTGAGCCAGGGCTTCCCCTTTTAAATCTGTTTTATCTTACTGATAATCTGCATGGTGATGTGGCTGTTTAAAGCTCAAGCCAGACCAGTTTTTCAAGGCTACAGAAAAATATTGCAAAGGCCAACCCCTATCATGATTGCAGGTGTTGCTTACCTCCATCATTTAATAAAACTAATAAGACACAGGCAATCTAACCATTCATTTGATATACAGTTTGTAAATAATGTGATTTTGCCTGATGTCTCTGAAGTCAACACAGCATTTGTGTTTAGGCATAGACTTTCTTTAAATGGCATCTCAAGCCTTTTCAGGCATTTTGTTGCCAGTTAGATAGCAAGACTGTTATCTGTTTGCATAAGGCTGGGCTAAAATAGATGAACTCTTAAACAGTTAATATACTATACAGTAAGTGTTTCACAGAAGAGATTATGTGTTAAAGTGGTTACAAGTAATATCTCAGAAGAATTCCTTGTTTGGTGCAGAAAGCAACTTGTTATACTTATGCTGAAAAGTAATCACAAACTGTTGAAGCTGTTCATTTTTATATTAAAGCAGTGAAAAGTAGGCTTAGTATAAGTTAAGGCATGTAATTAATCAACACAACAAGATATATACAGTACTGTCATATTACACCTCTTGTTTCCATATGACAAAACAATCCAAAAAAATAAATGAAAGACAAATCTTTCCAATGATATGCTTATTACATATAATTACATATTATATATATATATCTATTACATATATGGTATTACTTTACCATTAGGCTACGGTAAAGAACATTTGTGTTCAAATCAGGCACAGTAATGTTATAAATAGTAACATTTCTCATATGCTATAGCTAGTACTGCTGCTTAGTTCATTAGTGACTACATGAAATTGCTGTGTCTGGAATCAATATTATGAGGATAGTTTTTTGCCCTGGGAAAACTGAAAAGAATCATGTTCAAAATTATCTCAGGACTTAAAGGTGCATCATATAGGGACATGTACAGTAAGTAATTTTAAATGGTTATTAAATTGAGATTGTGTTTTTCAGAATTCCGGACCCCAAGCATTTAGTTAAACGCAGCTCAAACCATTGGATCATAACAAAAGAAAATATGTAAAGTGTCTGAAAGACCTGGAAGTGTAGACAAACATACTGTATACTGTACAATTCTTTGAAGATACAATCTTTAAATTTTGAGAAGAATAGAAGCCACTGACAATAATACAATAAAACAGGGTGTATGAATTTTTACCTGTGAACTGATTAAAAGTTTCTATCAGAGTCACAATACAGTTCAAATATTTTGGTGCCAAATATTTATACTGGGAGTGACATGGTGGCTTAGTGGTTAGCATTTCTGCATTGGAGCCCTGGGTTCAACTCCAGACCTGGGGTGCTATTCGTTTGGAGCGTTAATGTTCTCACCATGTTTCCTCTTGGTGCTCTGATTTTCTGACACAGACCAAAGACATACTGGTAAGTTAATTAGCTCCTGGGAAAATTGGACCTCGTAAGAGTATGTGTCTCTGTCTGTCTATGTTTCCTAAAATGGACTGGTGTGCCATCTAAGGTGTATCCCGCCTTGTGACTGTTGCTTGCTGGGATAGGCTCCTCAGCAACTCTGTATTGGATGAAGAAGTTAGAAAATGGATGAAGAGATGGATATTTACATTGAATTGTAAACATGAAAATGAAAATAGGTGTATAATGTATCAGATATCTTTCTCTTGGTGCCTTCTCAAAATAGAGAAACCAAACAGTAAACAAATCCTGAGAATATCTTGAGCCTCTTAGCACATCTTTACAGCACAACTCAGTGTGGGACATGTACTGTAAGATCTCCTTATGTATTGAGATTTCCACCGCATGGCAAGCAAATTCCTGGCCAGCAAATGAATTCCAGCTTTGATGTCTAAAGGCCTTGTCTTTACTCTGTTCTTGTATTTCACAGCTGCCCTTCATCTCACTTCACTTTGCCTGTTTTATACTGTAACAGAGACCTAGTTGAAAGAAATACAGCTGTATATGTCACCTCCTGGCTGTCAGCAGTATAGCTTTCTGAAGATCACATAATCACCACTATCAGAATGATTGCTAGGTAATACAGCAGATCATTCAAGCCATCTCTGGATTCACACAGCATTGTCTAATAAACTTTTTTAAGTGCAGTTGTTTTGGGAATGTAAACCACAGCTGACAGTTTACATACCCAAGGTAGACCAGGGATATACAGTAGTCAGCATGACTTGAATGTTGGTTACACTGTACTATTATCTAGGGTAGGGGAGGGCAATTCTGGTCCTAGAATGACACTTTACTTCTGTAGTTCTCCTTACTATATGAACTAATTTCAGGAACCTTGGACAGTGATACAGGAACTAATAATTATATATACTGTATATACATTTCTAATAACATAATGTTTGTATTTAAGCTTGTTGACAATTTTGTTCAGTTTATAAAAATCATACAAAACTGCTACAGAAAACCCTCACATTCATACATGTAACAAATCTTATGAAAGATTAAAGTTTAGCAATGTCTATAGTATTACCCTTACTGTACAATGGCACTTTGCCCCCAAAATGTTGTTCCTACTACTAAGAAGCTACCTTTACAGGGCACCTTTTGCCGTGAAATTATGTATCGGTTTCTAATCAGCTTTGATCAGCCTTCCCTTGATTGTTGTTGCATGTTGTAACCTTTAGCTGGATTGTTGTCAGAGATTGTAACCTTTAGCTTTGTAGTGCATAGCACTCTTAGCCAATCAGCATTTGCTCCATTTTTCTGCCTCCCTCCATTTGACAATGATTTTGGCACCTAAAAAAGATGTAATGTTCTTGTGTTGCTCATTAACAGAATCCCATAAAGGACCTTGATCAGTCTAAAATGCTTATTCTGTATTATGTTTTCAATGCTTTATTTATTTATGCTCATTATATTTATATAATATTTATTTATTTCCATTATAGTTTATATTGCTACTTAATCGTTTTAATCTGTAAAAATACGTAGCGTCTATCATATTTAGTGTGTTATTAAACTTGTAGAATAAGAAGTTTAAAGATTTTCACAACACTGAATTAATTATTATTGAATATTTTTGGAAGAATTCCCAAAATATATAGGAAGGGTGCCAAAGCATTATTAAAGGGATTGTTAATATATAACCAAAACCATCTTTCTACCAGATTATTTGTGCTTCATTTGCCATTTTTAATTTTTACTTTTAATATGTACAGTATTATTAAATATATTACCATTACCCTTTGACTTATTGATTGATTGTATTGCAAGTATATTTTATTTATATAAAATAAATTACTGACAAACGAATTCATTAAAAAAAATAAAATAATTTGTTTTATTTTTTCTTAACAGCTAAATATGTAAGTTTTCCAGAGTTTCTTAACACAGTTTTAGATTTAGTCATTAACAACTTTAGGCAGGGTGTTGTGCTGTTTTTGAAAAGAAGAAGAATCTCATTTTCTCAGGATACAAGGATTTAAGAATAGATATTAAGCTAGTATCAGCTGAATATACGCAATACGCATTTGGTGTGTTGCATGAGATCACTAAAATCTTTAAATTAGTTTTAGATTTGACTGACAGGCAGCCCATGGATTGATGACTGTGTATCTTAGTCATAATCAGAACATAATTTTCAATAACTGCTTAGTCCAACACAGGGCTGTGGTGAGCCAGATTTTATCCTAGGAGATGATAAGCACTAGGCGGAACACACTCAGTACGCTGGCCGATCGGGGCACACACACAGATGACAATTTAGAGACACAAATAAACTATTAACCTAGATATATTTGGCCTGAAGGAATAAATTGGAGCAACCAGAGGAAACTTACATGGCCACAGTGAGACCATGTAAACTCCCCACCACAGTCCAGAGTCGTACCCAGGACAAACGATTTGTATGCTTACCACTCCACCACTGTGTAATTCTAGTCAGAATATAAGTAACAAAGGTCTGAATATACTGACTGGCCATTTTCGGCAGCACCATGGCACAGTGGTTAGCATAGCATAGCTGCTTAGCAGCACTGGGGTCCTGGGTTAAATCCTAGGCCTGGGGTGCTATCTGTGTGGAGTTTGTATCTTCTATCTCTGTTTGTGTGGGTTCCCTCCTTGTGCCCTGATTTCCTCCCACAGTCCAAAAACATACAGGTAGTTTAATAGGCTTATTGGAAAAAAGTCCCTAATGTGAGTGTGGTTCTGTGTTCTTCTGCCCTGTGATTGACTGGTATCCTATCCAGGGTGTACCCCGCCTTGTGCCTGTTGCTTTCCGGGATAGGCTCTTGCCCCCATTCCTGAATTGGAAAAAGCAGTTAGAAAATGAATAGATGGATATTGCCATTTATTAAATGAATATGAGATAAAGATAAATAAAGAAGAGATATGAAGTCAAGATGAAAAACAAATAATTTGCAAATGAATGCGGGTACAGTGCATTGCAAAGTATTCAACTCAAATTTAATGTGAATAATAAAATATTACCCTTAAAAACTGTAAATACATAATTTGTAATTCAACATAATTTGGCATCTCTGGAAAGACCTGAATACTTCTGTAAGCCACAGATTGGTGACTGGAGTCAGTATACAGTAACTAGGTGCTATTACGAAGTTCAGGAACAGATTCTGAAGTTTATATTAATCTAAGAAAAAGTAAAATCACAATGCCGATAATAGTTTATTGCTACAATGAAACGGCCAACTTAATGTTGCCATAAAAGCTAGTCTTTTCTTAACACACAAGAACAAAGACCTTTGGAATTATAAGACATTTTGGAACAACTATCACAGCAGTATACAGGCTGGTACAAATCCCATAATTTGTTAATGTTTAAGTTCAGTGGAAAATGAACGGCGATTGAGTGGAGTCTGTTGCATTAAAGGGCAGCACAGTGGCGTAGTGGTTAGCATTGCTGTCTCACAGCACTGGGGCCCTGAGTTCCATTCCTGGTGTGCTATATGTTCACCCCGTGTTTGTGTGAAT